TTGGTCAGCACGTATCCATCGGTTTAATAAACAATTTGGAGTCTGCGTAGATTATAAAAGGCATTCTCATTGACCTATTGTGGTTCCTAAAAGATAGCATTGTGCCAGCTTCTAGGAGATCAGTCTGTGCTTCGAACAAAGCTCGTCATATTTCTTGAGAGACTCTATCAAACAGTAACTGGTCAAACATTGCATACAATAGTGCATTAAATGGACTGATTCTTCACCAACAGTCTGTTAAAGTTTTTTATCCAGGTATAGTGCTTCTTGACGTTGTCGGAAATAAGCAACAGATTAACAACTTTATCGTTTTGACGTTTTGACACATACGGTGGGTTTACACCTCTATTATAGCCAAAGACATTAAGGCAATGTTGATATTTCATTCAAATTTGCTGTAAACATGTTCCTTGACAGCAACCGGGAATTCGGTAACACTCCAATCAAGTTTCTCTCGTTTCCTCAATACATTTGTTATTCTTTCAGCATGATGATTTATCAGATTCAATGCTCGTGCCACACTTCACATGAAGCATTTGGCGTCATTGTTCTTCACGTTGATAATTGCCTTTTTTTTCATCAAAACAAGTGGAAGCGTAAGGTATGATTTACCCTTTAATGGTCTGTAGGCAGCGATGTTTGTCACCAACCTTTGCATAGCCTTTAACCTTCAGTTACTACTCTGCATCTAGAACGTTGCCATGGATTCCATCATCTTGTCAACAGCTTTGCTATAAACTTCCTCAAAATTGGTCGCTTCTAAAATAAGTTCTGCTTTTGTACAAAACGCAAAATCAAGGTTGATAACTTCTTCGCTTTTGATGTCGACACGCTCCATCCTGCGTCAAAGGGCTAAGTTAACTTTTGTCTCACGATAATTAGCCAACAGATTTACAACGTTATTTCTCACCCATCTTAGAAATAGAATAGTGTCAACTCCATTGATACCATCAATAATGTATTGCTTTATGAGTCCTTTGATTGCCGACTTGTTTTCTCTGACTCACGGCTTGTTGTTGATGTAGTACCTGTTGAAAATAGAGTTGACTCGTGTTTTGAGCACTTTGAGTTTTTCATACACAACTCTCTTTCTTCAGATACATAGCTAGTAATCCAATCAGCAAATGTGTTGATTGCAGATTTGGTCTTATTCCAAAGATTTTTAGGTACATATGGAACTGGCTCATCGAGTAATGGTTTGTTGCCTACCTTATGTGTTATAATGTTATGTGGAACAAGCGCTATTTTGTACTTACCCTTATACAGTTTTCTGTCACTGTGTGTTGAACTCTTCCATGTGCAATCTAGTGTGTGGCTAGCCTTGTATAACAAGAATGACATGTTGCAATTGGCCAATGTCTTCAAAGACTTCAGAGATGTTTGCATGGAAAACTACAAACTAGATCCATTTTGTTTTATACAGTAAGTTCCCAGTTTAAGTGTGTGGTGTGGTTTAAAAGTTTACTAGAGTGTTTGTGGGACTTAGTGGTTTAGTAGGCTAGAGGGTGGATAAGGCTTGGCGGTCCATATTTCTCTACTATTTATGCTACTCATCTATAGATTCCCACATTTATAATGCTCTCTGCAGGGTGACTGGAAGAGAGGTACTGAAATGTCCCAGAACAGCCACCCACTCCCTACTTACAATAATATCTACTTATGGTCTAGTTCAGTGGTTCTTAACCTTTTTGAACAAATCGCCCCCTTGAGCCAATGAGGAAGTTGTCATCGCCCCCCTCCCCCAACATAACCTCTCAATCACAACATAGGAAATAATTCTTCAATTTATGCAAACACTTTTTTTGTTTTCTTTAAAATTGTCATCAGGACATATCGATGTAAATAATTTATTTCCAGTCTTTTTCCCATATCTCCCATATTCTGGCCAATGGCGTGCCACTGTATGGGTAGAGGCTGCTGTGCAACGCGCATGAAGATAAATGATGCGTATTCACATATGTACGGCGTTCTGTACTGAAGCTAGCTGGAGGAACATTTGAAAACACAATTCAATCTACTAATAGCGATCATCTGATGTTTTTGTATGACAGATATACAGCTATTCACTGTACAAAAAAATCTCAAAAGTGTCCCCAAAACTTCTCGCTCCATCGCCCCCATATCGCCCCCTTTTCATTCCTTCGCCCCCACGTCGCCCCTTTTCGTTCCATCGCCCCCTTGAAAAATGAAATCGCCCCCTGGGGGGCAATATCGCCCAGGTTAAGAACCACTGGTCTAGTTCTTTCTCTCACCCACATCTGACAGCATTGTTTGAAGATCCCTATCTCACCATTTTCACCAGGGCTTAAGTTCTCCCATCACAAAGATTACCAAATCTCTATTTTTTTAATTTATTTAATTTGTATAGGCAATCTCACATTTGTGACTTGTTTTCATTATGCCTCATTCTATTTCTAATGCTCCTTTTTTCATCCACTGCTGTCTTTCTCTAACTGTCTGTTAGAATTATTAGGAACTGGCATATAGTACTATGCTATTTGATATCCTAGACAGGGGTGTCAAACTGCCGGCCCATGGGCCGGATGCGTCATCTGGAAGCCACACCTACCCCATTGCCGGCAATGGCAAAACTGTCCCAATATGTTGCGCAATGTCACGTGGCGTCATGAGTTTGACATGTCTGTCCTAGAATACTCGACTTCTAACGAAGTAGTTTTCTTCTTTTAGAGCATATGTAGATGTACTGAATGTTGAAAAAATATCAAAATCATGAGTAATTATTTGAGCTATTTCCCTAGGTTCAGAAGAGATAATTGGCACTTCCTTGAAAGAATCCCTATAAGTGTTCCTATAGCCTTTTTCACATATGTTACATTTGCAAATATATGTACAGAATTGAACCAAGAAAGCACAATACTAACCATGGATTGCACATTTCATGATAAACCATTCAACCCTCAGATGCTTATTATTTATTTACAGGATTTATAGGCTTCCTATATCATACAATTACTCTAGGAGGCTCACACTAATCCATAAGACATACTCTTCCCCCCATGTACCATATCAAACATCCTCATAGCTCACCCCCATTCTAACCCAATGCTTGGGGGAAGAGATAGAGCTTCACAGTGCTTTGGAGGGCTAAAAGCGTAGGTCCCTCTAATCTCCAGGACTGAGGCAGCCACCAAGAAAGCATGCCTCCTACGTCTTATCAGATAGCAACATCTGGAGCACCCACCTTATCTAACCTTGTAGGACAGGCAAATATCCTCAGGGATCTATGACAGGATAAAACCTCTATTTTTATTCAAGATTGGCTTTAAATTAGGGGTTGGCAATTTCTAATAGTCAAGGGAAGTATTTATCACTTTTGGAGAGAAATAGGAGTTGGAGTTATTTTTTACCTGTTTTTCCAACATATTAACTCTATTATTACAAACACAGTAGTTTCCATTGTTTGTCTGCCCAAAATTATGGAAACCTGTAATCTGGATTAGACAGGGTTGTAGGGAGCCACAAAAAAAGAAAACCGTGGCTCTTGGGACTAAACAATGGATTTAAATGTGTTAGCAATCTGTCCCAAGAACTTCAGATTGCTAACCCATCTTAAATCCATTGTTTAAATTCATGCACAGCTGCATTTCTATTTATCATTCATAAGAACACAAGAGCTCTCCTGGATTAGATCAATGGGTTCCTTATCCCCTCATTTGACATCCCATCCAGGTTAGCCCAATACTTCTAGGATATTTAGAAGGATTAATTTACATGAAGGCAAGAGCTCACTCTTAAAAGTTTCAGCTCCCATATTTAAGAAATACATTACCTTTAAATTAAGCTATAATTTTTAATTTATGATTGATAAGGATGTATAGGTGCTTGATTCTGAACTGAGAAATGTGCTTTGGATCTGTCATGGGTATTTTTATCTACAATCTAAGTCTATGAATATATCATATATGGAGAGACAGGTAGCTTAAGAGTAGTATTTTAAAACATTGGGAAAATAAAGCTACTCCAAACTTGCAGAAATTTATTGTATATTTTTTAAATATCTGAAACGGCTTTTTTTCATAAGGCACAAAAGAAGATTTTTTTTTTCTAGCAATTTAGTCAGATTTGCTTGATCTATTTTGTCCATAATTATGGTTTTCCTTTTGATTTGGTTTTTTTAATGAAATTTTCTATATTATGTATGTAATTATTGGGTCAATTCAGATCATATAAAACAGTAGGATCTGAAATCTAATAAATAAGTTTATATTTTTGTCATGTGTTTTATTTTAATTATTTAAATGTTCAGATTTTGGTATATTTGCTGAATTTTATAGAATGCGTTGCGTTTTAATTGAAAGGTAATATGTTTAGAAAAAAATAATGAAGAAAACAAACTTTAATTTATTTCTTTTAGAAAATTTTATATTCTAGGTTTTGTCGATCAAAACATTTAAGGAGTGCCTACTTGATGAATTTAGAGTACTGTTCATGATAAATCCAGGGCAAATGAAATAGGCTTGATGGGTTCACTAGGAAAACACTGAACAACTTGGCATCATTTAAACTTCTGCAAGAGCAGAAGCAAATCTGACTGAGAAATGAAGGACATCACTAGAAATACTGTGAATATTTATCCTGATACCACGGCAGATGTTATTTTTAATTGGGCTATTCAGTAATATCCAGCCAGCTACAACAGCTGTTGTTAGTTTGCTTTGTTATTTTTCATTTCTTTAGATACATTTATCATCCAGGCAACCTTTTTTTACCATCACATCCCCTTTATGCACATTAATTTGTTCCAACCTTCAACCATTGTTTTCTACTGATCTTTATCCAATGATATCAAGATTCTTACTGCTAACCCCATCAATAAGTTTATAATTGCCATAACTATCATAATTATATACCATCTGGGCTATCAAAATTTTCATGAAAGATGGGAATTAAATTCAAATTAAACTGCTAAATTAGAGATTCCATTGATTATTAAAGAATGCCTTGTATTAGTCTCTGTCCCTGCACTATTGACTCTTTACCTGTGATTTGACATAGTCATACTCTTCTGTCCCTCGTGGAAAATTTCGAAGAGAAGTGATGTAGTCAAAGGTAATCACTGCTGTCTAGAAAACAACCCAGACACAAAATCATAAACCACATTCTCTGTTTTCTAGTGTTCTATTAAAAGCATTTTGACACTTCTGATTTCATATCAGTAGCCCTTCAGTCAGAACTTGCATTATGCTCTCCTACTCTCAATGAAAAATAAAACCCACTCACAGTTCAACACTTATTGTACACTTTATTCTACATTAGTCAGACATCCCACATTCAGTAATATGTTAAATTCAGGACACAATAGTTTAAGGATATACTGTAGATACATTGGAATGTGTTCAGAGAAATGCAAGAAAGATGATCAAGACAGTAGAAACAAAGTTTTATGAAGACAACATATTTTAGCCTTGTGAATAAATATGTGCAATAGCATGTATGTCAAAGGATGTTCCAAATAACATTAACAACTGTTCTCCCTCTCTCCAAAGGAATAATGGATTTAAGTTTCCAGGAGGTCAATGCCAATCAAATATTGGGGGGGAAACTTTCTTACTGTAGTATCAGTTTGACAATGGAACCAGGTACTCACAGAAATGGTGGGTATGTTTGCTAGATGTATTGAAAAAGAATATAACCATCTCTGAGATGTCTGAAATTGGATACCCACACTAAATAGGGAATTGCCTAAGTGCCCCTCTCCAACTCTATATTATTCTAAGCACAGTCCAATCTACTGTACATACTTGCCTTTCTGCTAAACTTTTTGGCAAATACTTTTTTTCAGTATTAGTTTCCACATTCAGTTTCAGTTTAAAATGCATAGCAGAAATAAAGCCTTAAGCTTTCAAAAATGGTCCAAATAACAAGACTTTCTACAAAGTAGACTAAGGATTTCTATTTCAAACATTCAGAATTAGAGAGAAAGTAACAGAAGGATGTATTCAGTCTCTTAGATCAGGGCTTTTCAACCTTTTCACCCATTGTACCACTTTTAGGATATGGCAACATCCGAGTACCACCAGTCGCCTAGCAAGGTGTCAAAACTTGATGACCCCCCAAAAAAGGAAAAAAGTGATAAAGTACAGGTAGTCCTCGACTTACAACAGTTCGCTTAGTGACTGTTCAAAGTTACAATGGCAATGAAAAAAGTGCCCCCCAAGCCACAGCCGAGCAAGACACCTGCCTGCCTGCCCGGCCACACTCTTCCTCCTGTCCGAGGTTTTCATTGTTGTGAGCATTTCTGTTGAGAATTGGCAGCGGGGGTGGGGTGGAGGGGGTGTTTGGTTTTTATTCCCTCTGCCTGCTGGGTGGTTGCAGCAGGTTTTGGTCACTTCACATGACCCTGGCACACTGTGACCGTCATAAATATGAATCAGTTGCCAAGAATCTGAATGTAAATCACAAGACCCTGGAGATGCTGCAACATTCCAGCTGATCGGCGCTTCTTCTGGGCTCAGAAGTGCTAGGATCAGTGCCGAGCTCCAGCTGGAGCCTGGCACTGATCCTAGTGCTTCCGCTGAGCCCTGATAGCCTTGCAGCTCCAGCTATCTCTTTCTCAGGCTTGTGGGATGCTGCCACCGGTTCAGCTCATTCCCCTCCCCTGCTACCACTTTTCTAGGATGGTCGCGTACCACCTGCCAGGTGCCAATGTACCACAGGTGGTACCAGTACCACTGGTTGAAAAGCACTGTCTTAGATAAAAATCCAAGAGATAAGGGCCTTGCTTAGCCCAATTTCTACTTCATAGAGTCATGACAGAACAAAACTAAACTTTGTTGTCCAATCCCTTGAATTTTCCTTCTACCCACTTTTTAGAACTGCATCATAATTTATAATAGTGGCATCATATTTGTTTTCACAATGACTAAATCTTATTTGTTAATATTGATATGCATCATACATCAGAATAGTGTAGAGACAAAGAGAAAAGAGTTCATATGGTGCTATATTTGGAGCAAATGTCTTTTCTATAGTACTTTTTCTTTTTATTAGATCATCTCACCAACATGATATCCTTCAAATGTGTCTGTCTCCATGCCTATCATTTGGAAGTCTAACACACTTGGAAAATACCAGGCTGGGAAAGGTAATTAAAAAATCAGTCAGTCATGTAATTAAGAATGTTTTGCAATCTGATTTTATGACAAAGATTTTGGAGTTTTAACAATGTCATGACAAACAAAATCCCCAAACACTGTGCTTTCTCTGCCATTGAAAAATAGTGATGTAAAAAAATAAGCCTGCAGTTAAAAGCAAAGACCATTAAGGAAAAAACAACAACAAAGAATAGTACTGTAATTCTAAATTTGGAGGTGGAGTGGGGGTCAAACAATGATTTTGCATTTTCTATCAAATATGCCAGCACTGAAAATATGCTTTTCAATGACTGACATCAAATGTAAATCAGAAAAATCCACATTTAATATACTGTATAACATTAGCAAACATATTCTCTGAAATCAGTTTCTCTTTTAAAATGTTTCATCATTTTTAACCCTAAATGTTTTGCATTAAGCATGAAACTTACTGTGGCAACAGCTCTGCCTACTCGAACAACTCCAAAATCATTGGGATCCAGATGCTTGTTGCTGTGCATGTATAAACCAGCAATGGCCCCTGCTCCACTGACAAGTGACACTAGTTTTAAAGCTCTTCTGGCCATGGTGGCAAACTGCATGGAAATAAAAACAGGTGAAACATGAACCTGCAACATAGATGCCAGAGATGGCAAAAAGGCAGCTAGGCCTCATGTGCATTAATTAGATCTATGCACTTCCCTTATTTGTCCAAGCAGATTAAAACAATCATAGACATCCCACATAAAGGTACTTTCTCAGGATGACAGTCATTAACTGACCAGAAATGTAAACAGGCTTCTTCTAAAATAACAGAAATGCAGAGGCAGGGGTATTAGGCAGGCGGAAAAGAGAACTATTTTTAACCACAAATCTTCAAACTCAAATAAATAACATAGATGGCTGCACCATCTCCCAATGAGTCTTTCTACTTAGCTAAGGGAAGAGAGTTCTGTGTCAGATAACTGTTATTTAATTGAAATGACTAATATTTTATGCCTGATTTGTTCTTAGTTTTCTGTTGGAGCTTTTTCCTATGTTTTATTTTGTTATTATCTTTTTAAAGAACTTGTGCTTTGAAAACTCCATTTGGTGTTCTACTTTATTCTCACTTGAAGTCAAATGGGGCCATTTGTATTATTGCTATTATTGAGGTTCTCAAATTACTACAATACTTAGCAAAGGATGATAGCTTCAGTAGGGAACCTGAGCTATTAAAAGACACCTGCTTTGTGTGTGGGTTGTGGTTTTTTTTTTTTTTGCAATAAAGTGAGTTATTAAAATATAAGGTAAAAGGAATCATTAGAATAAATTGCTTTGGCAATTTTCTATGTGACATTGGTATAGCTTTAGCATGTCAAAGAGCTTAAGAAAAGCTTAAAACCTTGTCAGCTTCAGAATATGTTTCCAATATCCAGATGCCCAGCATGAGAAGACCCCTCTGATTTCATGGAATGACAAGATGGTTAATTTCAGCAGGCTAGTGTAAGAACCACCTTTTGAAGGTCAATGTGTTTGTGATTTCCCTATGTTCAGCTTTTAGTGTTATATTCAATATAATGTAGTATAGGCAGTGAAATGACAACTCTGCCAAAAAGCAGAGGTGCTTTTTCAAGAGGTAACTGGACTTTTTTGTTTTTCTTTGAAAACGTTTCGCTTCTCATTTTCGCTTCAGAGCTGAAAAAGCTTCTTGGACGAGAAGCAAAATGTTTTCAAAGAAAAACCAAGTCCAGCTGCCTCTTGAAAAAGCACTTTTGGGACAACCATGACCTGAGTGACTGAGAATCTCCATAAGAATATTGTTTTCAAAATTCAATTCAACTGTAGTAAAGATCTTGAAGTTATTGCTCTGATTATCCAGGCTATTTATTATTTAAATTGCTCATTTGCTGAGATCAATAACTCACGTCACCTTTGCAAAGATATAAGGATAGTTTAAATCTTTATTAATCTCTAAGTTTTCTAAAATTAAAAATAGTTCTTTACAGACATTCAATTACCTCTGGGAAGAGTCGACCTTAATTAGTAAAATTTGCAAATATTGAAAACATATTTTCTGTACTGACATTTTAACAAGTACACATCAACCTAATCCTAATGGCAAGCTTATATAATGGCAGAAAATACTACAAAGAAAACTTTGTAGTTAACGTAGCCCAAGGAAATCATTCTCTATGGGAAAGATACATACACATACTGAAAAAAAGGAATGTCTTTCCCCCTTTCAGGTTTCTCCCCACTGCTGAGTGCTAACCACTCATCCCTGAGTCAGCAGAAAACTATGAAATTTGCTGTTCCTCCTGTTGACCCCATTCCTCCATTGCCTCTAGAGTCACTGCAGTCTGCCCTCTAAGATGTTAAATACCGGTAACTTGCAGCTTCTCTTAGTCTGTGACTGAATGGAGGTTGGGGGAGAAACACTACTTTAACACTGATACAGCTAAGAACTTAAGCCTATTTTACTCATAGGCCGAGAACAAGATGAAGACATCATAGAAATCCAGCCAAAAAAACCCTATGTTGGTGGAACATGTTTGTGATATGGTTAAGTGAAAATGGCAAAAAGTTGTTAATTCAATTCACAGATAAAATGTATCTGTTCAATAAGTGTCATCCCCAAATCTTCAAATTTCACTTTTAAAAACATACATAGGGGAACCACATAACTCAGTATAAGAAAACTACCTTATGACAGAGCTACACAAAATTGTAACTACTTTCAATAGAATATTGGATCTGATAAATATAAAAAAAACCATGTACTTTATCAGCAAAAATTCTGTTCTTCAAGTCTGCCTCTAAAAGTATCAAAGAATATGAACACTGAAGTATTATGAAAAGTATTAGGCTACAAAAGCTTTTCTTGCAATGACAGCCATCGATAACTGTCTATTCAAGAGTAAGTCCAACTGAATTCGGCATGATTGAGCTCCATGATAAAAGATAGAAGAATGGGGGAAGGGAAAGTATGCTCCACTGACTTTCATGCAGTTGATACCTGAGGAGATATATAATACAGAATTGTTTATTTATTTCTATTTATTTATTAGACTTGTGTACCAACTGTCTCAACTAGAGCTGACTCAGCAGCTTACAAACATTAAAAATCAGTAAACATTAAAATGATAAAGCAATAAATAATTTACAGTTAAAAGTAAATTCTTGATAATATTGCAGTACTATTATGTTGTAAATTTTTAAAGTTTAATATCACTAAATTCCTAACTCAATATTCACACACACACATCCATGGTTACTTTTCCATAGCATTTACTGAGCTGGTCTCAGCATTTAGCACAAAACCACTTTTCTTTAAAATTAGTCAATAAAATCATTGAATAGGTTTTATTCCAAGCATGACAGTATCTTCAAGAGGAATCTTTATGTTCAGTTCCCTGAATCATATTTAGTATATTCTAATGTAATTGATATTTTCCTTTCACATTTAGCTTTTAAGCACAACATAAAGAAATATTGTACCGAGGTTCCTTGTCCATTAAGGTTTATGTCATAATAAATGTTCATCTTAAAACTATTAAATATCCTGGATCGCATTAGTCACTCATTACACGTGAAAACACTTCTAACGCTAGCCGCTTATGAACTAAGAATCGGAAAGAAGTCGACTGAGAAAATCTATAATACGAAATATTCAAGTGGATTTTCTTTGGGGTTGAGTCCAGTAAATTACTGAGTTTTATAGAAATGAGAAGTGACCGACTGTATTTTGGGAACGGAAGGCAGATTACACCGATCCGGCGGTGGAAAAAATCAACCCTGGCAGATTACTGAAACAGTAGATTTCATGCATCGGTCTGCAGTTAGAATTTCGTACTACATTAGAAAGGGCGGAAGCGAATTATCGAATCACATTAATAACTGGGAAGGGGAAACTGGCGTAAGGAGTGTATTCCAATCCAATTCATTAGAATCCTCTGTTCTTATTCAACGTTCTAAATTCCACGAAGGTTTCGATATCCTCAGGAATCATTTCAAAGGCGCTCGCCCCTCCTTCTTCTGCCCCCTTATCCATCCCTCCGGCCACCTCCAGTAAAAGTCAGATCGACCCCTCCACTCCGCCTCCCGCACTTACCGGCTTCCTAGAAAACAATTTACCAGGACAAGTTTAATTGGTGGAAAATAAAGGTTTCCGCCCCCCTTCTCTTCCCACGTGGTACAGACTTTTCTGTAGAGGATGCTGGGACTTGGTTTTCTTTTTTTTTTTTTGCGGGGGGGGGAGAGGGAAACCAATGCCTTGTACCTATAAGAAGCACGCGTCCAGAAGAATTAGGACAGTGGTGTTTTCAGTAACTGTCGATCATGAAAACGAGACCAAAACGTTAAACAAAGATCCTCAATATCAGTATCTCTAGAGTACGTACATAACTAGCAGAGATTGTTCTGTGACTCTTGTGTGCTAAACCCTAATTGAAAGCTTGTTTAGAGAATACGTCAAAACACTTTAAAGATCTTTAGGCTGTGTGTATGTTTGTGTGTGTGTGCGTGCGTAGACGTTGAACTGAAAAATCCTCATATTCCTTATGCAACTAGCACTAAAAGACTAATTATGAAAAGAAAAATTAATGTCCTATCAACTTCATTTATCTAGGTATCCCATCTGCAATATTAAAGAGTAAATGGAAATCCATGTGTGGTTTAGGAATTAAAAAATAAAGTTGAAAACACATTAATTTGAAGATAATGAAAACAAATCATCTACCAGCAATGATAGCTTTATCACAGATGTTAGTCTTATTAAATTATTGAAACACCACATTTAAGGCAATCTGGCAGCACCAGCCAAATCTCAGAAATAGTCTTACTTTGTTTAGTTGGATGGGAGGCTATCAGAAAATATCAAGAGTTGTAGGCTAGAATAAAAGTTGAAAAACATGGTCCAAAAAAGACAATAACAAATTACACTAAGTCACCAAGCTGAAATCAAATGAGGCATTTACATACATTATCATTTCTGGTCTTTACTCACAATGTTTCAGAGGAAATCCAGATGTCTTCTAACTAGCAAGTTTCCTCTCCCAATTGCTTCCATTTTTGTTTTTTATCGCAATGAAAAAGACAATAGTTGTGTAATGTTTTTTGACTGCTAGTATTAACTGCCCTGAAGTAACCTAGTTAAAACTACCATTGAATCTGAAAGAATGTATTGGAAGAAACACCATCTTTCCTCATATTCCTGAAGTCATTCTGAGCTTCTGATATATGTAAAGACCAACTATTTTCAAAGCTCTTCCTTCTTCCACATACAGAATATAGAATAACAAGAGTTGGAAGGGACCTTGTAGGTTAGGCTGATTGATCTGTAGTTTCCTGGGTCTGCTCCCCCCTCCCTTTTCTTTGAAGATGGAAACCACATCAGCTCTTCTTCAGTCCTCTTGTAGTTCCCCTGTGCTCCAGAATTTTTGTAAGAAACAGTACAATGGTTCTGAGATGACATATGCCAGCTCCTTTAGAACTCTGGGATGTAATCCGGCAGGTCTCAGTGATTTATATTCATTAAGATCAGATGGGTGTTCTCTTACCATTTTCTTGCTTATTTTGATTTTTTATTTCTAGTCTATCTTTTACAGTTATGTTTTTATAGGTTGGGCTATAGTTTCTTTGTATAAAGACCAATGCAAAGAATGAGTTAAGCAGCTCTGCTTTCTCTCTACTCCCCGTTACTTCCTTGCCATCTTCTCTCTTTAATGGACTGTTTTTGACTTTTTTCTTGTTATTTATATGTTGAAAGAAACTTTTTATTATCTTTGACTTTTATTGCAAATCTTTGTTCATTCTGAGCCTTTGCTTTCCTGACTTTATTTTTGCAGATTCTGCTGATATTCTACCTTAGTTATGTGTCCCACTTTCCATTTTTTGTATTTATCCTTTTTGTCTTTGTTTATCAGGGAGATCTTTGTGCAACCATGCTGGTTTTTTCCTGGGTTTTTTGTTTTACTTTTTTAACGGTATTGTGCTGGACTGGGCTTTTATGACCATATTTTTCAGAGTTTCCCAAGCTTTAGGATTTTCATCCAAGGAATCTTTCCCAAGCTCTCTCCGAGTTTATTAAAATCAGCTCTTTCAACATCTAACACTCTGGTATGATTATGTTCTATTGCTTGTGTTTGCATTATATTGAATTCCAATATGACATGGACACTTTTAACCAAGGTTCTTGTAATTTCATCTCTCTCTATCACTTCTTCTCTGTTAATAAGAATTATGTATGACTATCCCTCTAGTTCCCTCCTCTATCTTTTGGACAACAAAGTTGTCAGCTAGGTTGGTCAGGAACTGTTTGATCTTCATTATATCATGAGATATAAAAGTTTCAGCAGCAGGAGTTGACTGAATTTTTTCTAATGCCATCCCAACTGTGTCCATGGAGTTTCAAGAGAAAACTAGAGTGGAACTTAATCTGTAATGCACATTTTAAGAATCTATGGCATATATAATTCAAAACTTGACCTCGGACTTCCAAGAGTTTACACTAATTTTGTTTTCCTTCCTCCATAATTGGCAAGATCCCCACCACTTCTGTCCCATATAGTTTATCAAGATTCTCAATAAACTGGAACATTTCATGCACATCACCATTATTGCTGTCAATAATCAAAGATAAATATGCTCATTAGAAACAATGGAAGTGTTGATGACAAGGGAAAATGCTTGCAGGTGTGAGACATGAAGCTTCCTGTACAGCTGGTGCCTAACTGAGGCTTCCCTATCTTCAGAACAAAGAATAATGGCAAACATCACTGATTTCTAAAGCAGCCCTAGAATAATGATGAAGATGATAAAACTGATACTGAAAAGTTTAAATGCATTTTATGGGAGAAAGAATCAGAAAAATTAGAATCTGATGGAGCAGTAAAGTTTTAAAGGAAGACACACCAGATCTAGGGCAGCAATAATTCTGCTTTGCATTTCCCATTTTTCTGACTGAAAAGGACATTTCAGGGACAGTATTTTATAAAATATGTTTTTTCAAGGAAATCTTTTATACAAATATAGATACAGTTATAGACAAATGAAGTAAAGATTTATAGTACTAGAGAAAAATATAAAGAAACACATGACATGTATATACTGAAGAATTGTATAAAACAAGATTGCAAATCAATGATACATGCAGTATAAAGGCTTAATCGGTGAACTACAGCTGGATATTCTGGGAAATTTAAGTTAAATAAGCCTTAGGAAATATTAGCAACAAAACTGCAGGAGTTAATGAAAAACCAGCAGAACTATTTAAAATCTTACAAGATAATGCAGTTGAAGTGCTTCTTGCCATTTGTAAGCAGATACAGTATGTAAAATATAACAGTGACCAGGCAACTGGAAAATATCAATTTATATTCCAGTACCAAAAAAGAATAGTGCCAAAAATCCTTTTGAAGAATTGCACTTATTTCATATGCCAGTAAGATAATGTTCAAGATCTTGCAATCCAAACTTCAAAGTACATGCAACAGAAACTGCCAGATACTGTACACTACTTGGATACAGAAGAAGCAAGGGCACTCATGATCACATTGTGAACATTCAGCAAAACATGGAAATGGCAATTTTAAAAAATTCAATTTTGCATTATTGATTATATAGAAGAATTGAGAAGGATTTCCAATATATATATAAATCCTGTCCCTTCCTCTATGCTTTTTCAGTTCAATAATGGAACTAGAGGATTAGGCAACAGTTACTCTTGCCCTTTCCACCTCCAGTTTGAACCACTGCAAACTCAAGGAAACAGACTGGAAGCACTGGATGACTGGAAGCAGTTTATTTACTTGGAAGGAAGATCTGTCCAGATTAGAGATAAATCTGTTCATCCAGATTAGAGATAATGCTATGTGTGATCCAGAAAGGATGGCTGGAGTTAATGTTTCTAATTATATGCTCATCCCTAGGGAGCCACCATACTGCAGAATCTGAAAGCTATCTTCCCTAGGACTTTTAGGAGGGCAGTTAAAATTAAATTGTTCTAGAGGGCACATATCTGCATGATTTCTTGAAGGAGTCACTATGGGAAGGTTTTATTATTTAATGGGATCTCCATTATATAATCTCCATAAAAATATATAAATATAAATATAAATAGAAAATCATACAAACTACAATATGTAGTAATATGCAATAATACAATTTGTTTTAAACTCTTAAAACACTATCAATATTAGTGCATTTCATTTGTTAATTATACCAAATGATATAACTTACTTTAATATGCCTTTCTCTTCAACCTAATGTATAGTCAACATATTGCTCAAAGCACCTATCAAGTCTTAGGCAGGCTCACATCAGAAGGCCAAGTCTGTGTTGCACATAAAGCCAACTGGGTATTCAGATAGTACTCAAGTTACAATTGCAATCAGGACTAGAATTTGCATCACTAAGGGATATAGGAGTAAAGATTGACAACACATGACTGCATCATTTAGCAATGGCAATCCCAGCAGTCCTCATTGCCGTCGTAACTCCAGGGCCATGTCCATTGTTAGGTGGGGACTTCATGGGACTGCAATGTGGAAAAAGACAGGAGTTCCAAGCAAGTAGGTCAGCGAGTGAAAGCTCCAGATAGGTGGTACAGGAGGCACCAAAGAGTGTGGGTGGATGGATTCTGCAGGCATGTGCTACATAGCATGGAGGTGGGGGGAGCAGGTGCCTCAGGCAGGTATTACAGAGCACAGAACATTAAAAAAGCAGATGGAGCAAGTTACAAAACTTGTGACTTTCTGCCAGCTTCCTCATAGATTTTGCTTCCTCATAGAAGCCAACATGGAAGGTTGAAAATGCAGGCAAAATGTATTACTTGCAGATATTCCAATGTATTATTGTTGCTACTTTGTCATATAGTTTGCAGCCAGTTTGTGCGATCTTCTTGCAGCAAGTAAGTGGTCCACTGTTTTTTCAGCTTTCTTGCAGGAGAGGACATTTCCTGTTTGTTGCTGTCTTCTCGATTTTGGTTTTGATGCGTTTATCCTTAAAACTTATCTTGAATTAGCCCCATCTCTTTTCCTGCTCTTAGGCAATGGCAGGTATTGTTATCTATTTTGCATGCTATTTTTTATGTATTGCCATGTCTCTTCTATTCTTCCTTTTCTCTTTTTTGTAAGCCAATTTGGTCTCTCCGGTACTCATTAAGCCTTCATGGTATACGAACCAATTCATCTTTTCCAGCAGCTTTCAGATATTCTCCCAATGCCTTTTTCTTTTCAAACTAACTGGTATACTTGGAACATTCCATGCCCATCTATTTTCCTTGGCAGGTAGAGTCTGTCAATATCATTGTATTGTAAGGTCACTGGCCCTTACTTAAATATGAGATACCATTAAAAGTCTAATCAGGCAACTCAAACGCTTCTTGAGGAAACAGTGCTTTAATTGATCAAATAAAACAGCTGGGTGGCAAACAATTTGGAACGCTGGCAGAGTTACGTCCAGAAGTGCCACACCTTAGAATGTTAGTAGCATTACTTTACGAACTTTGTCAGCCAATAAAAATCAGACAACAGAGCCATTTCCTCATAAGGAAGACATCAATCACTCCCTTATTCCCTCCTTCAGTACATCCCATCCATGTACATGTTTCCCACACTATGGCTAAACAATTTCTTTTTGTTCCAGTTACAGAACCCTTCAGTATGGATGAAGAGCATGATCAATTGTCATTGTTTTTCTGGTCTTCCTATCCAGAGATTTTAGTTCTGCTTGAGTCCAGTCCACTGTTCTAGCTGCCTATTTAATGACTGGAATTGCCCAGGTTAATTGCCTTGATAGTATTGCCTCCAAGAAAGGACTTTCTGATCTTCATTCAGGTATTTGTAGCCATTGTCTTCATCCTGAGTCTCAATGTTTTCTCCTAGGGCATCTTATTTCTCCAGTTTTATTTATTTTTCCTCTGTTGATGGTGAGGGTAGCACATTTATCCAGTCCAAATTCCACTCCAATATCTCGATTGTATTTATCTGATATTGTTATGAGAATAAATAGACAAAATAGACAAAATCATGTCTCCCACCATGAATTCCAGGAAATAAGGTAATATATAAATATAAGAAATGATGTGTGAACACAGTCTGTGGTTAATACATAGTTCAATGTTTATGAACCTAGAAAATTGTACTGAATAAACAAACTGAATAAACATACTGTAGTTAAATATGGGTAAGCATATCATGTGACAGAGCATTCAGCCAAAATCTTAGCTCTTAAGTATTAATCTTTTCTAAGCCTATTGAGGCTGCAATTTCATACATATTTAGACTGAAAGTAAGACATTGGAAATTTAGGTCTACTGTACTTCCAAATAATCTTATTAAAAAATTGAGTAACTTTAGTCATATAGAGCAAAACAGGGAGATCTCAGGTATATGAGATTATTTTTAATTTGGGAGAAAGGTAAAAAGTTTTAGCTGTATTCACATATCACAATACAGTACAGTAAATAAAAATGATTTATTTTGACTTTGCATATTGTACAATACTGTGCTGTAATTAAACAATTAATAGCTAAAAATCCTTATTGAACTATTTCAGATAATTCAGAGAGCTGTATTTTCAGTTTGCCTCCAGTTAAGAATATTTCACTTGTCTTGTCCATCATGTTAAACTAAAGTAAAGGTTGGGTTGTGTGTGTGTTGTGAGAACTCTGCAAACAAGTCATTGATGGTTCAGTGCTTTATATAAACCCCAGGTATTTTCCTGGTTGAGCAGACCACTCTTCAGTTAATTGTGGGTTAGGTAAAATACTGTGGAAACATATTTTAACTAGTCCTGTACATTAGGCTTATCTATGTTTTTACTTTGAACTGATATCAACGTCTACTGGTGTTATCAAGGAATTTTTTTTTTACATTCCATATATTGTGAAAGTTTTGTAAAGAATTGAATTGAATATCTTATTTGGCCAAGTGTGATTAGACGCACAAGGAATTTGTCCTCGGTATAGAAGTAGTCAGTGTTGAATAAGAGGCAGTTTAAGGTGCTGGTAAGATGCTGGCCTAGAAAGCATGAGACTGTGAGTTCTAGTGCTGCTTTAGGCATGAAAGCTAATTGGCTTACTTTGGTTAATCACTCTCCTATCCCAAATCACCTCACAGGATTGTTGTTGTGGGGAAAATAGGAGGAGAAAGGAGTATTAGGTTTGTTCCCTGCGTTGTTATTTCTAAAGTAATAAAGGCACAATAAAAAAAGTTTTTTAAAAAAGGCTTTCTTGTATTTTGTATAGCCCCAATCCTTCCAAATTATTTTTTCCTGCAAAAAAAAAAAAAAATTCATGCTATTAAAGAATTACATGAAATATTCTTCCTACTGTTAAAGGAAAAGTCATCTTCATGGTTCAGTCCAAGCCAGGGATAAACAACATGGTGACTGCTTTAGAAAGAAGGTTGCAGTTTATTGAAGAGAAGAGCCAGACAGAAAGATGGCTCTGGAATAAAAGAGAGAAGAGCACATGTAGGGAGTAGGCTTTCATACCCTTTGGAGCCTTTTGTTTGCAGTTGTTTCCTATTCCAGGCTTTGTATTTCCTATGTCATGTATTCTGACCTGAGTCTGGGTGTGCCCTTTGGCATTTGTGAGTTAATCCCATTATCTCCTGTTTTAGACTTTGGATAGGGTATGTAGATTTTAGGTGTCTTTGCCTTCTTAATTTTCTAGCTGGGGGCTTCCAACCTTCCTGGATTATTTACATCTGCATTTGTACAGAGCTGGTTTCTGCTTGGGGGAGGGAGACTTGGGGCTATTAAGAAAACTGAACATGCTTTTCTGCCTCTTTAAGATCCTTTGAGGAAATATATTTTTCTGCCCTTTTAATATTTCCTTCTCTGGGGGGCTGACTTCCTACACTATAGTAGTTGTTTTATAACCTGCAGTTATTTTCAGCTATTTTCCGTTTTTAAATTTTGGACTACAGTACATTTGAAAGTAACTTCCAGCTCTCCTCTCATCCCCCCTTTTTTAATGGAGGTAGATGTGAAAGACAATCTGTAACCAGAAAAATCACATTCCCAACAAAGTCCTCAACTATTTCTTTATAACCGTTACAAAAAGAAAAAACCCTCCGCGGAAGCGTTCTAGTTTGTAAAGCCTTGGTGAAGTGGAAGTCACGTGTTCCAGTTTAGCTTACAAACCCGTAAAGACTACAACTCCCAGAGTGCCGTTGATACTTCACTTCCTTCTGGGTGGGTATCATTCACCATCAGCAACACAGGATTCGCAGAGGAGGGAGGAGAACAACAAAATGGCGCTGACCAGGTGGGTAGGGGGGGGAAAGAAGCGGGAGTTTATTACGACATAGGGACAGATTGTTGACTTGTTTCCGGATTTCGTGTTTGTTTGTTTTTTAAAATATGCTGTAAACCTATATATATATGCACATCGTGGTCTGAGGCAAAGTGGATGGATTATGGGAAGATTGCGTTAGGGAGGTCTGGGGTGATCCGGGAATTTTCTTTAGCGCTTATTCCACAGGCCTTTTCGGCCGGCTTGTTTCCGCCGCCGTCGCCGCCCCCACTTAGTGCCCTTAATAAGAATACAGAAATCCATTCAAAAATGAAAGCTTCGGTTCACAAAAAAATAAATATTTGGCCGGACGAGATTGGTCGACTATCCAGAAAAAGAAGGTGTTGGATGGCCACCCACCCCCCCAATTAGTATCGGTAGGGTGTGATTGATTGATTAATCATAGTGCACCGAAAATTGAAGTTCAAATTTAAAATGGTTTTCACCGGGCAAGGATCGTATAGGAGAGATTGCTGATAATTATGGCTTCTATATGCGCAAATCGTTAATTCCAGGTGGGATTGGAAGCCACCGCTGATATATTAAGCAGAATGGACCGATTTTTTACACTACCTAGCCCCAAACAAAGCATTTTTCATATATTAACTTTATATCTTCAGTTTTAATTTGTCAGCTCAATCTGTAAAGCTCAAAATCTGAAGTAGTTATTATTTGGAATAACTGAAATAGAACTTGCAGCTTCTGAGTTCCTAAACCACTCTAAAAACAAAACAGTTCAGAACTGAAGATGACAAAAAGAATGAATCTTTCCTCCATGGGTGCAGTTGCCAAAATATTTGAACAATGTTAAGCATTGTGGATATTTTATAGTGAAAGACAGAATCATTTTTTAAAAAATATTTTGTTGGAATAAAAGTTACATGTTACAAAGAAAGAGAACAATATTAAATTCTTCCTCTGTTTGCTTAGTTTCTTACCAGCACCAACCCAGTTGTCTCAGGACCAACTGGAATTAGAAGAGAGAGCAAGATCTCAGAGAGTGAGACAGACTGCATTGGTGTCATCACGAAGGGAGCCGCCTCCTTACGGTTATCGGAAAGGATGGATACCACGAATGTTGGAGGTAAATAATAGTTTGCATTCATTTAGCCACCAGAAATGATTTCACTCTTAAAAGATAAGTCTGGATTTTTGAATGCAATATGTAGATTTTATTTAAAATGCTTTTTTCTCCTAAAGTCAACTTAGATGTTCCAAATTCAGAATCCTTGAATTTGCTGTCTAGGTACATTTTGCCCAAATTTAGTTGTCAAACATTTTGCAGTCTAAAATGTTTTACTATGTTTTTATGCTTTTTATTGTGAACCATAAAAGCATAATAAACAATAACACAATTAAAGATACCAAATTAATTAATGCCCATTGTTGCTCAATCCAGTAATAACCATTCAAGATTGAATAATCTTCCTCAAGGACATCAGGGTGGAAGAAAACTGTACCAGAAAAGCATAGTCTCTGCACCCCAATCTCTCAAGGGATTTTAAGTACTTCTATACAAGAAAGTCCTGAAGATATCTTTGAGCCAAGTTATGAGGGCCTTTGTAGGTCCTTTGTTTCATCTGTAATAGAAATAGATAACTGTCCAGCCAATCTAGTAAGCCCAAGTTAGTGTCTTACTATCGTCTGGAATCCACACTTAACTGAGGCAAAGAACCGTCCCCCATGTTTTCTCACTTTATTGCAGACCACCCACCATGATTTTTATCTCTGGCCAATCCCTAGCATAAAAAGTACCATCCAGATCTCAAAAGGGACAATAATCTGGGCAGATCTTCTAAAGCTACCCAGGGATACATGTTTGATCACCTGAGAAATAAAGTACAGGTAGTCTTTCATTTACAACCACAGTTGTGTTCAGAATCTGTTGTTAAGCAAAGTGGTCATTAAATGAGATGACTCATGACTAGTTTGCTTAGTGACTGCAACCCAGTTCTTCCAGATGCAGTCATTAAGTGGATCAGTGGAAGTGGCCCAGGCCTCCCAGACATGGTGGGGCAGAGAGAGGACCCGGGCTTCCAACCACATCCAGAAGGCCCAGATCCTCTTCCTACCCTAATGGGGAAAACAATCACAAGAATGTTGTTGTTTCCTAGCATTTTCACCAGATTTGAGGTCCATTCCTCAGGTGCCCAAAGGAATTTCTCTCCCCCCATGCAAGAAGGGAGGAATGGACTTCAAATCTGGCAAAAACCACTAGGAAGCACCAGGATTCTGAGCCTTTCAGAAAGTGGTGTTCGCTATTTATTTATTTATTATTTATTAATAAAATTTATATGCCGCCCAATCCCTAGGGACTCAGGGCGGCGTACAAAATTAAAACAATAAATATAACAATAAAGATGAGTACATTCACTCATTCATGAGTCCCAATTGTATCCCGCCCCCCCCCGGGGACATCAACCCCAGGCCTGCCGGAACAGGAGAGTTTTAATAGCTTTCTTGAAGGCCGGCAAGGTGGGAGTAGTTCGAATCTCGGGGGGAAGTTGATTCCACCACGTCGGAGCCACCACAGAAAAGGCCCTTCCCCGAGGGCCCGCCAGCCGACATTGTCTGCCGACGGGACCTGAAGTCTCTGGGAACTATGCGGCAGTATGCAGTCCTGTAAGTAACCTGATCCTAAGCCATGAAGGGTTTTAAAGGTGACAACCAACACCTTGAATTGCGTCCGGAGACCCACAGGAAGCCAGTGCAGCTCACGGAGGATAGGTGACACGTGGGTGTACCTTGGTGCACTAACATTTTCCCTTCTCCGGAACCTTTCTGAGCCTCCCAGAGAAAAGGGGAAATGATAGCAAACATCAGGTTCTGAGGTAGTGTTTTCCTCCCATCAGCCTTTCTGAGGGGAGGGGAAAATGCTAGAAATATATGGTATAATAATTGCTGGTATAATATCTGTATTTGTTGCTAAACACATCATTTCAAAAGTATATACGTGATTAATAAATGTGTTTAGGATTACAGCATAGGATGTAACTGGCTACATGACAACTACACAGTTTCAATCTAAACATACGGCTGTGGGAGGAAAATCAGGTTTGAAACCAAACAACTTTCAGAAACATTTTATGTTGGATGAGAATAATACACAGAAAGCAAAAAATGTCTTGATTGTTCCAAAATTTGTGACTTTAATTTCTATTATTTTGAAATAAACTTTCAACTCTTAATTACAGTATTTTGTGCTCTTGTCCACAGTCTAATCACATTCATTTTTATTTCTGTGTAGGATTTTGGAGATGGAGGTGCTTTCCCAGAAATCCATGTTGCCCAATATCCTCTGGATATGGGCCGAAAAAAGAAAATGTCCAATGCATTAGCTGTTCAGGTGGATGCCGAAGGAAAAATAAAATACGATGCTATAGCTCGGCAGGGACAATCAAAAGACAAGGTAATAGGACTCTCAAAAGTTTATGTTTAAAGTATAATTGCTTCAGTTTACTAAATGTTTTGTTATGAATAATGGAGAAAGTGTTCAGAAGAAAAAGGCTTTTTTAAAGTGCTGAAAGATTTCGAAAGAAATTCAGATCTTTCTCTTTTCTCTGAAGATGTTTTTTGTTTTTAATTTTTCCCTAGAAATGAATTCATGAAATGAATGAAATCATAAAAAATGAATCGTGAAATATGCCCTAATATTTTATTTTTAAATAAACAAAAAACTATTGTGAAACAAACCAGTATATGTTTGGAAGTGTATCAATTAAAGAAGCAACTATATCACATTTTTAGAAATTCTATGTTCTCACATGTCTGGTACTGCAGTATATTTAGGAAAATGGGATTATATTTTGAATAATATTTTTCTGAATTGTTGCATCCTTAGTAATATAGCAACTCCTGGGTTTTGTAATTATTAGCTACATATGGAATAAAGTAGTAAATTAATTTATTTCTATAAGCAAGCAGCACTGAAGAAATAATTTCAGTCTGAAGCAATATATTTGTCCATATACAGAATGTCAAGGAACACATTTCTCTTTCTATACCTAAGTATTACTACTACCTAACTATTACCTACATTGTTTTATTGGTTTGCCTATTTCTATGCTATCGCTTCACGGCTATGGGTAGAAGAGACTTCTGGCCATGATTGTTGGATCCTGTATTGTTTGCTGTTTGCTGATTATTGTTAATGAATGTTGACTACCTCAACTATGAATTTTGTTATATGTTTTATATAGTTTTTTATATTGTTTTTGAATTATATTTTTGGTGTTTCTGTGCTTTTTTAATTGTGAACCATTTAGAACCATATATTGAGATGGGTGATTATAAAATTTGAATTATAAATAATTTTCACTCATGTATAAGTCATGTTGACTTAAAACCACAATTGGGACTGGAATTTCAGTCACGAAGAGACGCCATTGTAAAGCAAGATGTCACATGACCACATCACTTAACATCTGGCACTCCCAGCTTCCAGTGTTAGGCAAGAATCACAGGCTGTTAAGCGGAGGGAGGCCCATGTAAGGAACATGGGGATGTATTGAAGTAGATGAAGGTTCCCGGGAGGCCAAGCACAGTTTGCATACGAGTTGTGGGTGTTGTAGTGCGGCATAAGTGTGGGGAGACTAGGAAGGAAGCTTCAACTGCCGCAGCCTGACCCAGCATTGCAGTAAAAATGCACCACATTCTGGGAAATGTCCAATACTACGGAAGCCTTCACAGTGGTGGTGGTGGGGAGGGGACAAAGCAGCCAACCTCTAATGCTGGAGAATCCTCTACAACAGATAGTGAAGCAGCAACTCCCCCAGGAAGCACCAAACACCTGGAAAGCCTCCACAGCACATGAAAAATGTGCCATGTCAGGGAATTCCTGTCCCAATTGTCATAAGTCAAGGACTACTTCTGAAAAATAGCTTATTCTAAAGTACAGTACGAGGTTATACAGTATTGTCATGGCACAGGGAGTTTATTTAGGTGTTTTGAAGCAATTTTCACAGATAGGTAGGCCACTAGCTAATTCTAAAATGATTATTCACTTCCGGAGTTTATCACACTAAAGTCCGTTTATTGACCTTATCTTAAAGAGTGGTCTTATTTTAATTATTCTATTTAGAACTTCTTCTTTTTAATGTTGGAAGAATGTCTTTGCATTTTATTTCCTAGGATTAATTGATTACTTATTTATTTTGATCTTGGAAGTAGATTTGGTTCTTTATGCATTGAGATTCTTGTGAGTTTTATGGACGATTACAATAAAGAAATAATTGCTCTTTAAATGTCTTTCATTTCGCTTTGTGAAAAGTGATTCTGTGGGTACTCATTTTAGGGATTGTTAATTTTGGAAATTCTTGGATGAGAATTGATAAATGTCTCCTATGCTAAATTATTATTAGGACTCAAGTCTCTTTTATTGCAGACAGATGAACGAAGATTTAGAACAATCTCTAATGAGCAATATATACCCATTTGAACAAAGAATTGTAGTTGTGATAGAAGACACAGGGCTGATAGATATCTCAGGGCTGAACTGTGGAGTCCTTGGTGCTGTTTAAGCTTGGTGGTTGCTTGTAGACATTTCATTACCTAACTAAGTAAGCATCAGTGCAAGGTAATAAAGGTAACATTAGTGCAAATTGTGATACATAAAACAGTTTAATGTCATTACATGGACAAAATATCATATTTTTAAAAATACTATACAAGCAAAAATAATGTGATGATATAAAAAGTTTATATTGGTGATAAAGTAAAACTTGTTTAAACAGAAACAATTGTAGGACGGGCTTGAACAGTTCATTGAGGGGAAAGATCCAGATTGAAATCTTTGAAATAATTGTGAGCCCCAAGCAATAGCTGGTGCACCGATCAGGCATCACTGGAGCTAGCAGTATATGTGAGGCTTGGAAGTGTTGTGTCTTTCATACTGAAAGTGGCTGCGAGAGCCTATGTGGTAGTGGCACTCCTTCCCAGAGGCATGGATTGGTTGTTTTTCAAAAAATGCCAGTGGACTCCACAAGACTGCATAAGACACAGCCTGCAGACTATATGGGCAAAATTAATCTAGACCCTGTAGAAACATACTGCTCCAATCCAAGAATATGCCATCTTGTTACAATCATAAAAGCTTGGAAAGATGGTTTAGATTACTTTTTTCTTTCATTAAGTTGTGTCCAATTCTTAGAGACTGCCAGAAGAAGTCCCTGCACTTTTCTTTAGCCAAATTTCTGCATCATAAAATGTAAATAAACAAGGTAACTGTGGTTCCAAAAGGGAAAAGATTCCTAGATCTTTGATTACCAAAAAACAGAATTCAGGAAAGTTTTATGTATATCTCTCCTATCTAAAGCTAAGAGTATTATATGATATTTTTTAATCTTATTCTGACATAATATTAAATATTATGGAGCTTGTTCATTGCTGGAAAATTAGTCCAGCTTTCTAAAACGCTGCAGGGCCTTTTTTTTTTTTTTTAATCTACAGTGTTCCTTTTCTTTAGTGATCTTTTTCATGTTTCAGGTCATTTACAGCAAATACACAGACCTCATTCCGAAAGAAATTATGAATGTGGATGACCCTGAGCTTCAAAGACCAGATGAGGATGCTGTCAAAGAGGTATAGCTAGTGATGATGCATGTAACTGGTAAATGGTAAAAAAGGTAAAGATTTCCCCCGTCCATCATGTCCGACTCCAGAGCACGGTGCTCATCTCTTATTTCTTAGCTGAGGGAGGCATGCACATTTTGTTGAAATGTTTAATGTATTATATGTATTTGCAGCTTACAGAAAAGACACGAGTTGCACTGGAAAAGTCTGTCTCTCAAAAAATTGCAGCAGCAATGCCAGTCCGAGCAGCTGATAAACTAGGTCCAGCTCAGTATATTCGGTATACAATACTTTTTGTATTGTTTATTTTTTTTATATAGCTACAGTATATGCCTTCTTCACATAATTATGCAAAAACAGAAGCAGTTACAGGAAAATTAAAAAAAACTGTCGTGTTGTTATTTGTGTTCATTCCTGGTAATGAATTTTATCTTGGAAATATGTATCAGTCTCATGGTCCATAAAAGGTAAATAAGCACAGTAATGTCTATGAAGCAATAGGACATATAACTGGAAATTTTATTCTGTATATGGTCAATAAAATTGGATAGAATGTGGAGTATCAAGTTTTGTTCTGTGTGTGAAACAGCTTACCTGTGGTAAGATGGGCAGCCAATAAATTTGATAGATAAACAAAATGTGTGTACAGTCTAAAAATACAGCAATGCTGGAAAATTTATTTATTTGCCACCCATCTCGTAACAAAACTGGTAAACTTAATGAAAGTTTGTACTAAGACCTTTTTCTCTCTTTGTCAGATACACACCATCACAGCAGGGAGTGGCATTTAATTCTGGTGCAAAGCAGAGAGTAATTAGAATGGTGGAGATGCAAAAGGATCCCATGGAGCCTCCAAGATTCAAGTGGGTTTTAGAAATACTTCTTATTCAGAAATAAGAATTTTTTTTAATAAGTCCTAATGATGCTATGATTTTCACATATTAGAATTAATAAGAAAATTCCTCGTGGGCCACCATCTCCTCCTGCTCCAGTAATGCATTCTCCCAGTAGAAAGGTAATGCTTTCACAGCTGGTTTCTTCCTCCAAGTTGTCTTTGTTTTCATGTTTATATTATTGTTTTTGTTGTTAATTTCCCATAAACCTGTATACTTATAATTCTAGCACATATCCACACTTCTCTAATGCAACCCACACTTTCATTCCTACTCTAACCTCTCCCAATACTTGAGTGAAGAGCCAAATCTTAACCTGGGTCTCACCTGAAGATTAAAAGAGAGGAAACCTCGATTTTGGAGGGAGGATGTTCCATAGGATTGGGGTTGCAGTAGAAAAGACACGCTTCCAAGGGCCCAACAGAAGGCAAAGCTTAAGAGAAAGGATAGATTAGATAGATAGGTAGATAGATAAAAGAATACTATATGGAGTTGGGCAATCGGCAAAAAAAGTAAATAGTTCTGTATATACTTCAGCATTGTTAGCGCTGTACATTCCTATCAACTGCTCAGGTGGTGCAGTAATCACTTTACAGAAAAAAACAGCACGTTCTTTGAGCTGATAGTTGCTTTCAAAACTATTAGGAAAACTATCAGGAGTGAGGATTCATAGAAATTCTCAGTTTACAACTCAAAGCTAACCTACTGTAAGCTGAGTCCTCAAATCTTGGTGCTTCTAAAAAAGAACTGATTTGATGATTTTAAAAAGTCCATCTTTGTACTTCAAACTATTGAAAAGTTCTTTTAGTTTTCACTTTCCAAAAGACAGATCTTCAAAACCACTCTGATGTAAATTGGTACTTGCTATTTATTATTCTGCTATAGTGTTGAGAAATTCCCTTTCCATTGGTAAAAAATAAAAAAAAACCTTTCTATTTTCTGTATAGATGACTGTAAAGGAGCAGCAAGAATGGAAAATTCCACCTTGTATTTCAAACTGGAAAAATGCAAAGGTAATTAATTGGTTGCAATGACATACCCTACAGATAGCATCCTAAGAATCTCACTGAAAAATAAACAATTTGGATTACTTTGAAATATCTAGAACTGAGTAAACAAGCTACTTTTAAAAAGTAGTTTATTTTTCCCCATTTATCCCCAGTTGGATATTAAAATAACAACTTAGATAGGGTAGGGCAACCATGTCAGTTGCTAATCACTGAAATTAGTTCCACAAATAGAGGCTTGTTTAGTGTAATAAAACATTATAGCATAATAGCAAAAGTATTTTAAGTATCTTCATAATAAAAGTTCAAAATGAGTATTTATTAAGCCACGTGTAGACTAACTTTCCTGCTGCATTCTACTGAAATTAAATTAAAATTATGGATCTGCTTTGGTAGTACAAATACTTTTTATGGTCATTAAATGCCTTTTCTCTTTATTGCAGGGTTACACCATCCCATTAGACAAACGCCTGGCTGCAGATGGTAGAGGATTGCAGACCGTACACATTAATGAAAACTTTGCTAAATTGGCAGAAGCTCTTTACATTGCTGATAGAAAGGTCATTGTTTATCAAATTTATATGATGCCCATCTCTACTGCCCAATATTCTATCTGGCTAAATTCTGGGATGTATCTCCAAGTTTACATTACAATCCAAAACGTAAAGTAATGTTGCTATCATGACTGCTTAAATTCTGAATTTTGTACAGGCTCGTGAGGCTGTAGAAATGCGAGCCCAGGTAGAACGCAAGATGGCTCAGAAGGAAAAAGAGAAACATGAGGAGAAACTTCGGGAAATGGCCCAGAAGGCCAGGGAACGAAGAGCTGGAATCAAAACTCACATGGAGAAAGGTACCACTTTTCATGTGTTCCATTTCATAATATTTCAAATATTTTTTCTTAAACCTGTTGAACAATCTTGTTGGGAAGATTGCAATGAATCTGCAGGAATGGTCTGCTTATCTGTCTCTTACCTTTTTACGTATGCTGCTTTTCACGTATAGGACTGCCACCTGATTGCATGTATGTTCATGTAAAAATGAATTAGAGAACCTGTGGTCCTAGAGCCAGATGCAACCAATCCTATTTTGTCCCCTCACATTTCCTATCTAGTCACAGTTGTTAAATTTCCTTCCCTTTTGAAGTGGGAAATAAAGGAAAGCTGTAGTGTAATCCCTAAAAGCAACCATATCTTTTAATTCCCAAAATAATTCCAGGTCCCACACACTTTGTAGACATCAGTTTCCCCAAAAATTGTGTGTCCCTTTGTTCCAAAAAAGTTGTCCATCCCTAAACTAGAGGTAAATTCCATAATTTAGTGATATTTACTCCCAAATATTAACCTTCAGTTATTTTTATTGCATAAATAACTTATAATGAATTTGATCACTTTTCAATTAATTTTGGGTCAACTTGTATCTCAAATTTATCTAGAGGATGGAGAAGTTAGGGAACGTGATGAAATCAGGCATGACAGGCGAAAAGAAAGGCAGCATGACCGGAATCTTTCCAGAGCAGCCCCTGACAAAAGGTAAAATTATTCAACTAGTATATAGCTGACACTTTTCCTTCTACCACAACAACAACAAAAAAAAATTAGTTCCAGTATATGAAGATAAAAAAAAACTACAGTTGCCTCATAACTGTTCTCTCAAATTGTACTTCTTTGCCAGAATTATCCTTTATGCCAGAGGTGTCAAACTGCCGGCCCACGGGCCAGATGCATCATAATGAAACTGCGCCCACCCCATTGCCGGCAATGCCCAAAAAGTTGCGATATGTCATGACACGTCACGTGACGTTGCAAGTTTGACACCCCTGCTTTATGCAGCGCAGTAATCTCTTCAGAAATGTTGAGACAATAATATTACCAGTGGTTCTTAAAATGATACAGAAAAACCAAGAGTTTATAGCATTAAATTATTACTTTATTACATTATTGCAAAAAAGGACATTGGTAAGCACCCGACACTATCATAAGGTATAAATTTTAGAATCAACATCTTGATATAAAACCTGTAATATTTTATCCAAAGAGGACTAAAGTTCATTCTGAACATAAAACTTCTATGCTGCATCCTATACCTTTTCCTTTATTTTCATCCTTCATATTTACCAGGCAAATTTGAATCTATTTTTTTTAAATTAAAGTGCGGCTAATAATTGTTAATGTGGCTAAGTGCTAATAATTGACAGAGATGCAATACTGTTAAATTCAGATCAAAACTACAGAGGAACGAGAACAGAGATATTAGTGAAGTCATCGCATTGGGCGTTCCTAATCCTCGGACATCCAATGAAATTCAGTATGACCAGAGACTGTTCAACCAAACTAAGGTAAGGAATTCCACGAGTACATGGAACATCAATTTCTCTATCTGATAAAGAATATGAATATTTTTTAAAAAAGGGCCGCCAGTATATGGAGCATCTTACATTTAATTCTTCATTTGTTGTTGAGCTTGTGCTTAAATCCTGGTTAGTATAGGCAAAATTGGATAATATGTGAATATACAAATGAACATTTCCAGTTTTGATAATTATACCTTCACTGGTAGTCCTCAATTTATGATCAAAATTGAGATAGAAACCTTTTTTTTTTGGGCTGTATTTGTTAAGTGAATCATGGTCATTAAGCGAATTATAGTCATTAAATGAATCTAGCTTTCTCTGTAAAGGTCTCAAATAGTGATCACATGACCCAAGATGCAACAAGTGTTGTAAACACATGCCAATTGCCTGGCATTTGAATTTTGATCACGTGATTGGAGATGCTGCAGTGGTCATAAGTGCAAAGACCGGTCACAAGTCACTTTTTTCAGCACCATCATAATGGTCATTATACAAATGCTCAGAAGTCAAGAACTATTGTAAAATATACTATGGACATGGGAAAAACTAAGTTTTGGGTGCTGTTTCTATAATGAAGGAATGCCCATGACGTACTATTGGAACAACAAGCAAAAGCTTCGTATGAAAGCACACACTGCGTCGGGATGGCCCCATTCTAGAACATGGTTGAAAGGGAACACAAGTTGTGCCTGCTTAATTATCCTAACTGGAACTGGTAACTCCACTGCTGAGTGAAGTGTCTGCTAAGGGAAATCATGTGACCGTTTCGAAAGAGACAAGATTAATTTTATATCTTCAGCTTTAACCTATCAGGCTTCAGAAAACAGGAAAGAAAGGTTATAATTCTTTGAAGCAGATTTCTTTATTTGTTCCTCACCTAAGGACAGAATCATGTGAAAGTAAAGCATCCTACTGCTCCCCATCCCACCCCCCAATAACACACCTACCTACTGGATCTACTAGGGAGAAGCCATCTTCACCCTTTTTCTCTCAAACTATCCATGCTGACTTCTCTTGTTCCTCCAGAATGCACTCCCTCCCTTCTGGGAATCCAGACTACATTCCATCACATAACCACTCCCACATCCCCTGTAATGCTGGAATGCCTGCTTACTGTTCTGTGTACATTAAAAGTAATGCAATCACACTACAGCATGAGAGCCACAGACTATGCCATGGGTATCCAACCTTTTGGCTTTCCTGGGCCTCAGTGAAAAGGAATTGTCTTGGGCAGCATATAAAATATATAACATTGTTAATGTATATAAATTACATTAAAAGTTTATGATCTTGTGAGGCCACATTACTAGCCGTCCAGAGCTGCATGCTGCTCACAAGCTATGGGTTGGACATGCCTGCTCTACGCAAGATTTTTTGTCAAATCTTTTTGTCTCCAATCTCTCTGCTGGTGGGGAGGAGAGCAAGTGATTCATGTAGGAAATCTCCTTTGCTCGGCTATCTTCTCCCACCCCCTCAAAACAGAAATTGGAGAGGGACTTCAAGAGAGTCCATTTTCCGTTTTGCTCTTCTACACATCAAAAGCAGGAAAGGGGTTGACATTAGAAGCTGGCGGTGAAGCTCACAAATGATCATGTGACTGCAGGATGCTATGATTATTGTAAATACACACCAGTTGACAACTGCTTGAATTGTGATCACATAACCAATCTACAACCTTGACCTGTTGTAAGTCTTTTTCAGCTGTCATAACTTCAGCAGTTGCTGAACAAGTGGTTGATGAGTTCTACCTGTACATGTTAATGAAATCTAGTTGGCTGTCATTTCTGACCATTACTTGTGATCTTAGTTTCTGTGGCCTTGAAATAGTTTTTGGTTACCTTCCCCAGTTTACATTTATATACTTGAACAGTTATTATGTCCTCCTCTGTATTTTTTCTCATTTGTTCATATCTTTCTGGAAGTGGACTCATCAGTGCTAAGTAGAAAAACTTCAATTTTTTTTCTAATGCCACCTAGAGCCACATTAGCAATTCTAGTAACTTCTTGCTGTGGATTCATATTCAGTTATTGTAAATTTGTAATAGTAGTAAAGTTGGAAGGGACCTTGGAGGTCATCTAGTCCAACCCCCTGCTCAGGCAGGAAACCCTACACCAGTGGTTCTCAACCTGTGGGTCGGGACCCCATTTGGGGTCGAACGACCATTTCACGGTTGCCAAACAACGCAGTCCGCCATTTTTTTCCCCTTTTCCTTAGCAGTGCTACTCCCTTTTATTCTATTGGCTTTTGAAAGCTAATAGAATAGACTCTCTTGAATAGAGTCTAATTCTATTGGCTTTCAAAAGCCAATAGGAATTGTCCAGGCTATCTCTGCCCTGCTGAGCCCGCCAAAAGTCCCATTCTGCAAACGGTGCTGCACCAGTTGAGTAGTCCTCGACTTACGACCGGTTGAATAGTCCTCGACTTACGACCGGTTGGGGGGGGGGTCGCAGCATTAAAAAGGTTGAGAACCACTGCCCTACACCATTTCGGACAAATGGCTGTCTAGTCTCTTCTTAAAAACTTCCAGTGTTGGAGCATTTACTGCCTCTGGAGGCAGGCTGTTCCACTGATTAATTGTTCCCACTGTCAGGAAGTTTCTCCTTTGTTCTAGGTTGCTTCTCTCCTTGATTAGTTTCTACCCATTGCTTCTTGTCCTGCCTTCAGGTGCTTTGGAAAATAGCTTAATTCCCTCTTCTTTATGGCAGCCCCTGAGATATTGGAATACTGCTATCATGTCCCCCCTTGTCCTTCTCTTCTTTAAACTAGACATACCCAATTCTAGCAACCGTTCCTTATATGTTTTAGCCTCCAGTCCCCTAATCATCTTTGTTGCTCTTCTCTGTACTCTTTCTAGAGTCTCAGCATCTTTTTTACATCGTGGTGACCAAAACTGGATGCAGTATTCCAAGTGTGGCCTTACCAAGGCATTGAAGAGTGGTATTAATACTTCACGTGATCTATACCCAAGCTCTTCTCAAATGTAGCGTCACCAAGCCATAATTCCCTACATTTTTTTTCCTACTAAATACCTTATGTTAAAACATTTGGTTCCCCTTGGCTGTCCTTCAACCTGCCCAGATTAGATTGTAATCTCAAACTTTTACCCTGGGCACTGGAACCACATTGGTTACTGCTCTCCAACAATGTAAAGTCCTTACTGCTAACTTCCTAAGTGTGATATGCCAGCCATTTGAGATTCCCTTTTCTATAGGACTATCCAAATATCAAGAGTTGACAATGAAAATGTCGCAGGGACCTTTGGCAAAAACTTCACTGAAATTAAGCTTCTCTCCTTCATACACATCTTGCATTCTTTGAACGTTCTACCTTTTTTTCATAGCCACTTTAAGAGGCAAAAGTGATTGAAACAGTGAAAAAAAGGAAGGCTTGTCATATTGTAGCTTTAAAGACTTCATAGTTCTCCAATTTAACTTTTAATAACAGTAGTTTATCTAGCTGGTGGGTCAATATAATTATTGGTTTTTGAGATGACTCATTTCTGGAATTTGTTTCTTGTTATCCTAAACAGTGTGAATTATTCCTATATTTGATAGGGCATGGACAGTGGCTTTGCAGGAGGAGAAGATGAAATTTATAATGTCTACGATCAGCCCTGGAGAAGTGGTAAAGACATGGCCCAAAATATATACAGACCAAGTAAAAATGTGGATAAGGACGTGTATGGTGATGATTTGGAATCAAGAATAAAAACTACTAACAGGTAGGGAAAATAATGTGAACCTCAGTGATTGGATTTTTACAAGAAATATATTACATATTTCTTTTTTTCCTCTTGCAGGTTTGTTCCTGATAAGGAATTTTCTGGCTCAGATCGTAGACAAAGAGGAAGAGAAGGACCAGTTCAATTTGAGGAAGATCCTTTTGGCCTAGACAAATTTCTGGAGGAGGCAAAACAGCACGGGGGCTCTAAAAGACCTTCTGATAGCAACCGTCCTAAAGAACACGATCATGAAGGCAAAAAGAGAAGGAAAGATTAAAAAACTGATTTCTTTCTGGCCACTGAGACTGAATTCAGAACTTTAACTAGCTCTGTGCTGAAAATAGTGTACCATGAGTGTTCAAAGGCAACATTTCCCTATGGAATAGAGAAAAGAAAAAGCAGACTGCTGAATAACATAGGTTCTGTATCTTGGTTTCTAAGTAGGTTCATCCTTTGTTTCAACAGAGGAGCGATTTATTCTTTACTTTAAAATGTTATTCCAGATATATTCTCTTGTATATAATTGTGTCTATTTCTGCTATGTATTGATTGTACTTGAAAAAAGGGAAGAGTACTAATTGATTTGCTCTGATGTAACTATCCAATTCCACTTAACCTTAAAGGAGCAGCTGCACTCAATTAACTAAGGTGAATATATACATACCAAAGTTTATTTTAATTTCTTTACATAGCAATTAAATAAAGGCTCCTTCCTTTTAATTGGTATTAGCAAGCATTTCATCTGACTGTTTTGTCTTCTTGACGTTTAACTTCAAGCTGAAAGATAATACAAAAAAAAACAACTCAATACCCATTTTCAATTTTTTTTAACCAAAATAAATATCTGGACTATATTAATATTTCCATTGTTAAAGAATATAGTTGCATTATGTATGCAGATTACTACTGTATACCTTTCAGATAGTGATACACATTGAACAAGCTATCCCTTTAGCAGTGTACTTTTAATTAGAGATGCGCATGATATGGAACGTTTATCTTGTCCCATGCGCAGAAAAAACACCATTTATAAGATCTATTCTGGGTAGATTATCGCAACGTGTGGAGCTGCTTTGTTGTAGGTTTTAGCCAAGACAAATTTTGGATTGTCTTGCAGGACAAGTAGAGGCAGGCCGCTACATTCTGTTCCTCTTTTCCTTTTATCACACATACATGTTCCTTCCTCTGATCATTGAAGCACCAGCCTCTTCTTCTCCTTTGGTTGTTGCAACAACCTTACACGAATTCAAACATAACAATGTCTATGCTCCAGCCAGCATGCCAGTTCTATCAATTGTCCCAATGTCTTCTTTCCCTTTGCTGTTGCCTTTTATTGTTGCTGGCTTTCTCTTTTCCTTGCTGTCTGCCATCTCAGAATGTACATTTTGATTCTACCATGGACAGTCCACACCCAAAATGCTTTGTATATCCTGCTTTTAACTGTTACTTCTTAACTGTAGAAACTGGGTTTTCTTAAATGTGTATAAATAACAAGACTAATGAAGCTTTCTTTGAAATAAGGAGAGGTACCTGATATATCTTAAAAGAACTGAAATTACCTGTGACCCTTCAAAAGTATGATCTTTCAACAAAGCGTTATTGCGACTTTCTTCTGTAGCAAATCCAATCCAGCCAAAACCTTTATGGAATCCTGTTTGTACATTCTGAACATTAAAGAGAATACATTAGTTGATCCAGATATCTGAATAAATATCCTCTTTTATATTTGGAAACGCTATTCATGGTTAGTTACTGCTTAAGAGTTTGTATTCAAACTTACGAACACACAAATTATATTATCTGTTAGGTAAACTAGAAACCATTTTCCAATATGCAACAACAAATTTGATAAGAACTGTTTCATGGAATAATAGTTTTAGAGAGAATGGTGTTGATATTTTATTTTTCTTTTATTGGATACAGAAAACAAAAGTATATGCATTTTTGGCAAGTAACCCCCAATTCAATTCTGCATACTTTTGAATAGTTTTGTGTATGATCACACAATGTTGTTAGTTAGGCAATATGATGTATTTGACTGTTTACTCAAATTTATATATGCTGGTGTATGTGCTACTCCATTTCCAGAGATTCTATATTGCTTATAGTAATAATATAATTGTTAATCTTTTCTTAAAATGTTAAAAATGCATAATTTGCAGCACAATACCTGAAATTACATACTAAGTCCTATTAATTATGGGGGAGTTTGAACAAATGTGCACATATCCTATTAATCAGTGGAAGTCAAATTACTCAAGGATGACTAAACTGTGTCTACAATCAGCTAGGAAAGGCAAACAAGGCACATTTCACTAAAAGCTAAAGATGTCAGCTTTACAACAGTAGGTGTATCATAAATGAATATGCTTTATTTTGTACAATGAAACATAAGATTCTGTTTAAAATATTTTTATGCATTTCTAATTCCAGAACACCTTAGTTATAATAACGACAAAATCATTTCAGTAAAAATAAGATAACCCATTAAAACATTAGGATTGCATTCTTGATAGTGAACAGTTTTTATTGGCTGGTAAAGAAAGGGAAAGTTATCTTTGAATTATTCTCACTATGATCATAGAAGAGAAGGAAATTTTTATATGGTAATTTTGTCCTGGATTTCATACCTTACATGTAAGTTCAAAACCTGAAAAAATAGAACTGAAATCCACAGCAAAGAATCACTACCTTTACACAAAGCTTCCTGTCTTTATAAAAAATAACTTTTTTCTCCCCAGATACAAAAATGTTTACCAAGAAAATAGGGAGTTAATAATTTAGCCTCATCAATTTGTGCCCTAATAAAAAGATAAAAGTAAAGGTTTTAAAATATGACTGTCCAGTTGTATCCGGCTCTAGGGGGTGATGCTCATCTTAGCTGAGGGAGCCAGCATTGTCAGAAGACATTTCTGGGATCATGTAAACAGTATGATTATATGCCAAGGCTCATGGAACACTGATACCTTCCTACCGAAGTGGTATTTATTTCTCTACTTGAATTAGCTTCGTGAATTTGGTGTTCTACAAGTATGTTAAACTACAATCCCTATAGTGGCTAAAAAATAAACTATGCAGGCTCAGAATTATGGAAAGTACAGTAGTGATGAAAAGTTTGTGAATCCTTATCCATAAGCTTGCAACATTGTGACCTACAATAAGAATTATTCAGATAAGAAATTCTGGTTAAATGAACAGCACAAATGCTACAGTGTGTCTACTGAACAAACAGAGCCAATATTTTCACTGATTGTTGGAAAATTTAACTAATCAGGTCTCTTATGTCAGATGCAACTGAAACACGAAGGATCCACTCCATAAAACTAAACTAATTGGTTGTTACTACCAATCTTTGCTATTAATTAACACATCTTTGTCAGCTACCAAAATCACTCTTAAAAACCAAGGCATGCAATACACTAGGGAACTGCAAACATTCACATGGCAAAGGATCTAAAGGCCACTTTTTAATTATCTAATACTACTATTCGTGTGTTAGGAAAACATTGAATAAAAGTGATGTACATGGGAGAATATGAAGGAAACCATTATTATCCCAAAAGCACATTGGCAAACTAGATAGAAGAGCCTGAATGGTCTAATAGTGAGATTAAAGTGGAATTCGCGGCTTCAGTTTGCAATTGCTAATATATTCAAAAATATAAACGAGCTGAAGAAATTGTGTATAAAAGAATTGTCAAAATATCTTCAAACTACTGAGCAGCACTGATCAATAGATATCTTTAAAAATAGAATAGAACAGAATAGGAGTTGGAAGGAACCTTGGAGGTCTTCTAGTCCAGCCCTCTGCTCAAGCAGGAGAACCTATACCATTTCAGACAAGTGACTGTCTAGCCTTTTCTTAAAAATCTCCAGTGATGGAGTGCCCACAATTTCTGTTCCAGTGAGGTTAATTGTCCTCACTGTCAGGAAGTTTCTCCTTAATTCTAGGTTGCTTCTCTCTTTGATCAGTTTCCATCCATTGTTTCTTGTTCTGCCCTCTGGTGCTTTGGTGAATAATGTGACGCCCCTCTTCTTTGTGGCAGCCCCTCAAATACTGCAATACTGCTATCGTGTCTCCCCTATTTTTTCTTTTCTTTAACTAGCCAAATCCAAGTCCTGCAGCCGTTCTTCGTATGTTTTAGTCTCCGGGCCTTTGATCATCTTAGTTGTTCTCTGAATTTTTTCCAAACATCTGTAATGATATGGTGACCAAAATTGGCTGCAGTATTCCAGATGTGGTCTTATAAAGCAGTACTAATACCTCGTGTGATCTCGATTCTATCCCTCTGTTTATACAACTCAGGATTATATTGGCTTTTTTGGCTGCTGCTGCACATTGCTGGCTCATGGTTAAGTGATTGTCCACTAGGTCTCCAAGGTCCCTCTCAGTTACTGTTTTTAAGCCAGGTCTTGCCCAATCTGTACTTGTATCTTTGATTTTTCCTACCAAATGTAAAACTTTGCTTTTCTCCACACTGAAACTCATTTTGTTGGATAGGGCCCACGGTTCACGTTTGTCAAGATCTTTTTGGATCCTGAGTTTGTCTTCTAAAGGAGATGCTGCCACTCAATAAATCTAAAATTTCATGTACTTTTTCCATTAAATAATGTGAATGTGGGCTCAAATGTATTCAAATAAACTCATGATATGTTACACTGCTTGATGTCCTCATTCCACAGATGCGGCTTGCACCACATTGTAGATCACAGTATTGCAAGATTAAAGACAGTTTTAAAGAATTCCCAAACTTTTAATCACTTACATTAAAATAACCTAGAACACTTTTCTTAAACTTTTTCCTTTCAGGATCCCTTCCAATTTTTAAAAATTATGGAGGACTCCAAAAAAGCTTTTGTTTGTAAGGGTTATATTTATTTATATTTATTATATTAAAAAAATTAAACTTGACACATTCACTGGTATTACCTCTTCTCACAGTTGTTTGATGGGATTTTAATACCAGATTATTTTTCAACATCAGTTTGCAAATAGTTTTGATTTCAGGAACCAGAGAGGCACTTTAAGAAACACTGCCCTCAAAGACAACATGTTAAAGAAAACTGCCAGAAAACCTTGATAAATATCATGCCTATCTACTTATCTGTTTATTTACCTACAACACCATTGGTCAAATACAATTTGAATATGTTTACATTGGCTAAATCGTTTAATAACAATACTTACAAATGGCAGGATGCATTTCTTCACAGGTCCAAATTGAGTAAAATATTCTCGTAGTTCATCTTTAAAAAATGGCAGGTGGTCAGTAAAGTATAGATCATTTGATGCACTACATTTCTAAGAGCCAATTTCTCAATTGACGGGTAAACTATTGTGGGCTTAGAAAATGACTTTCTGAGGAGCAGGGCTACTAGTCACCCTAAATTTCTCACAACCCTTGAAATGATAATACATTACAGACATTTGACAGAAATGGGTAACGAAATGTAACTGTTTGATGCTGCTCAGAAAGTTTGGCTTCAAATTTCAAAAAGTTCTACAACACAGCAAATAGCAATGGCAATGAGCTTTTGGGGAAACCACATCCTCCAATTGGTCAAAACATATGACCGAACTACCATTCACAAAATTATACATTTGATTAATTTTTAACCTGCCTAATAATAGCTCTCTGATCAATATTATTAAAAAAGGGTTAAAATTACAGCTTTTAATTTAAATGAAGCACAGATTAAATATAGTCCCTGAATGAGAAAGGATTACTTTGCTCCTTTATGCATACAGTAATACATGAAGCCAAAAAGTATTATTTTTTTTATAAAAAAGCAAACATAATCAACAGTCAGTACAAGAAAAAATAGATTCACATTCAAATTAACAATGAAACCCATTGCTCGAGACCACAATTTACTCATAATAAAATGAAACTAACCCATCTTCTGGGTTCATACAAGACAATGATCCATCACTATGCACACTGGTTATCTATTCTAGATATATCTAGGTTCCAATCTGTATATCATGTCCACTTATTCCAGAATAAAACCAAAACAAGCACACTACAGTAATTCCCTTCTACCTTGCAATCTGTACAGGAGACTACACAATACCAAGAACTCATTTGTTTCGGGCAATTAATAACATAATAAAAACAACAGAATAACAGAGTTGGAAGAGACCTTGGAGTTCTTCTAGTACAACCCCCTTCTCAACCTAGAGACTCCTATTTCATTCCAGACAAATGACTGTCCAGTTTCTTTTTAAAAGCCTCCAGTCATGGAGCACCTACAAATTCTGGAGGCAAATCGTTCCACCGGTTAATCGTTCTCACTGTTAGGAAATTTCTCTTTAGTTCTAGGTTTCTTCTCCCCTTGATTAGTTTCCACTTATTATTATTAATAATAATCACTTTTTATTATTACTATTAATTTTCGCTACATAGCCCCAGTATACAAACGACCACAACGAAAATTTCCACACGGGCTCATCAGCTTCATCCTTCCCTGATTAGCGACATCTAGTTGGCACCTCGATAAGAAGACAAGTGATCGCAGTCAAAACCCGGGATATCTCCTCAAAGCAAGAGGAATTGGCAAAGAATTTACAAAGAAGACGTCGGCTGGGATAGAAAGGTAGGAAAAATCCGCTTCAGCCTCTTCACAGGAAATAAATAGGAATCCCTGCCCAGTTTAGAGGTGTCTCGGAGATATACCCCTACTCTTTGGCGGAACAAAAGCTTCAGTCACTCAAACCACAAGCGGGGGAAAATCCTTACTACCCCGTTAACCATCATAAGAAAATGCATCTTCCCTCACTCACTTTCCTCCACGTTCCAGGGTATTCGCCTAACAAAGACCTCGAAGACACGCCGAGAAACACCCCTCGCTGCCATCTTAAAATGAGGAACGACTACTTTGTCCGGCCGCGGCTCTTTCCAGCCAATGGGAAGCTAGTTTCCGCTGCTTCGGCGGAGCGCGTGCAAGGTCAAGCCTTGAGTTAAGATGGCGGCGGCCACGAGGGAAGAAGATGCGTTCCGTCGCCTCTTTCGTTTCTATCGGCGATGGGAGGGGTCGGATCCTACCGGGGTGATTGACTTCTCAAAGCCAGCCGGGCGGCAGGTAAGCCAAAGGGAGCCCTCCACCACTTTGCCCGGGCGGATCCTGCCAGTGTCTGCTGCCAGGAAGATGCCAGGAACGTCTTCCTTTTGAAAGACCCTCCCCGTTTCCGCTGCACGTTTTTCGTCATTCGCCGGATTGCGTGTATATCGGCGTGAAGACTTCGCAGTAATAATCTGTTATGTCTCTGGTTCAAAACTTGGCATAATTTTTTTAAAAGTAGTATGGCGTATCGGTTAAGACGAGCAGGAAGATCGGATTTTAATCGATTCTCAACTACAGAAACTTGGTGATTTGGAGCCAGTTGCTGCCTGTGAATCCAACCTACCTCATTGTTCTGTGAAACTAGATTGCAAATGAAATTTTGAAATCTTAACTGAATGAGTAAAAATAACAATGGAGGAAATAACACAATGATCGTGTTCTGTGCAAGAACTGCTGGGATCTTAACCTTCTGGTGGACAATACAAACTGTAGTAATCAGTGCTCAGTCATTGCAGGGTGCAAATATGGCTGACTGCCTTGGCAGCGTTTGTTCTTTTTATACAGTTTTCCAAGTAGCAAAAGTTTAACATGGCAATACCATAGCAATAGCATTTCATTGGTTAAACTCCTTACCAATCCTTAAGAATAGAAAGCCAGGAGGCCCAAAACAGGGAGCAGTTTTCTGCCACATCCTGTTGGTGTAAGCTAGCTGATATCAGGCAGGTGAGGTCATTGTACCAGCCTGGGGTAGTTTCCCACATTGCCATGGTGATGTGAAGGGATGAGATAATGTAGAGAGAGGAGGCATGCAGGCTTTGGAGGGGGCAGTTTGCTGCTCATGACCTCTACCTGGCCCCTATCTCTACATCTCACTCTTTTTTGTTTTGTTAGACGAAATATCGTCATAAGAGGGGTTAATAAAAGGATTATAATCAGGAGAGGAGCATCCTTGCAGTTGTTTATATAGGGCATAAACCTGACCCTGAGGCAATGTGGGAGAGAATTTGGGGTTAAAAGCTCTGATACATATATTGCAAAAGAAAGGAATACATTGCACAAAACAGCACCCACCAAGATCCTAAAGTATCAATTTTCAAATCAGAGGCCAAATTATGTAAAATATTGATCTGGTGCTGGATGGTTCGTGAATTATCAGAAATATTGAAACAACACATCCCCTCAAAACTTTCACAACCCAAATGCTGACGCAGAAGCAAATAATCGATAGCAGCGCGATTTTGCAAAATAGCTTTTCTCAAATCTTGCAGTTCATGGTTGATTGCTGACATAGCTGAAGAAGTAGCATTAATTGTTTTTGTTAAATTACATGCAATAGCATTAATGTTGAGATGAGCACAAAGAGCAAGTCCTGGTACATCCACTAGAGACATAGTCAGTGCCACCTATTCTGCTTTATTAAGTAAGGCTGTCTCAGAGTCACAAGTGCTATCTAGCATGACCCCACCTCGAGAACGGTTCGAGGGAAGTTTCCCGCTGCCATTGCTGGCTGGGAAGGAAAGCCGGAAATGGAGCCAACATATTGGCGAAATAAGTGGTTCCTTTTGGCCTCCGTAAGTTTAAGGGTGGTGGGAAGGAGAAAGAGCCAAAAGAGGATGCACTACGAGGTGCACCTGGGTGAAAAGGGGTATAGGATTGCAAGCATCTATCCATCCAGACTGTGATGTGGGGACCAAGTCCCCCAGTGTTCTCAGTGGCCAGTGGGGACTGTAGTTCCAAGTTTAAGGTGTCAGCTTGAAGAAGCTGATGGTAGCCCTAGTTGCAAAATGGTCACTGTGTCCTTGAATACAATACCTATCTGGGCAAGGAGAGAAGCAGAGGCTTATCCACCCATTGATGGAGCACTTTTGGAGAATAAGTTGGATCAAAAGTTGAGTCTCTAGGACTCTTCTCCTAACCTAATTGCTTCTCAGTTTTGGGGGGGTTTGATTTGGAGAAAGGGCAATTACAGAGTGTCCTTCTGCTGAGATTTAGCATTACAGCTGAACCACCAATGTCAGCTTGTTGAAGTAAAGTGGAAAGTATCTCAATGTAACAAGCTAACATACACAAAGCACATTTCCTAGAATGGATGGAATTGGATTCAAAGGAAATATCCCTTTGTTGAGGGCTCAGTTACTTGTGCTGGACTTCAGACTATGTGTTTGAGTTATCGTTACCTCTGTATATATGGGGGGGAATACCTCAGCAAAATGAATTTGAACAGATATCCTATCTAACAACTCAAGACAATCCAGGTAGTTGGCAGCACCTGGCCAACTTTTGTTGACATTGAAAAATTAAATAGGTTTGGACCTGATTAATACTTGAAAGGAGACTATCTAAAACTTGCTGGGCTGTAGGCTTGACCCAGAAGTTACTAAACTTTCTAAACATGGCAATGGCAAGCCAAGAAAACTTCATAGATGTGTCCATGCAGTTATTAACTTGCTCTACTGAACAGCAAGTTTTTAACAGATTTGCATGTTTGAAATATAGGATCATAAAGAAATCAACTATGCTTTAAATTAGCCTGCTTGTCATCTTGCAGGAATTGTGGTGTTCAATTCCTGCATATCAGATATTTACATTACGATTCATAACAGTAGCAAAATTACAGTTATGAAGTAGCAATGAAAATAATTTTATGGTTGGGGGTCACCACAACATGAGGAACTGTATTAAAGGGTCGCGGCATTAGGAAGGTTGAGAACCACTGACTTAAAGGCTTGATGTTTTCTTCATCAAAATTATTGCTACATCCCTTTACCCTTCTGAGGAATGGGTAGAGTTGGTAGTATTTACTTCTGTTGTTGTTGTTTTTTAACTTCTGTTTACTTTTTACTTTACCTTTTCAATAATAATCTATGGATATCTTTCTGGGTATCTGATATTCAATTTTTTTTTTTAACTAGGTAGTCAGCTGTCCTCTGAAGTTAATCTCAGTAAGTGATCAAGATGCCTACAGAGCAGGATTACATCCAGTTACCCAGTGGAAAGCTTATGGTTTAGATAATTATCCGGGTGAGCATATTTGGGATATCTAAATTTAGTCAATAGAACAAGTGATAATGTATGCAACATTTTTGGAAGAAACATGTTATAATACTTGTGTTTCTGTTTTTTTCAGTGTTCATAATTTAAATATCCATAATTTAAATATCCACATCTATATTTTTTTCTTTTTCATCCATTTTTATTTTTATCTAGGATTCATATATATTAATAATCCCTTTCTTCCGGGCTCTCAGTGCCATTGGGTGAAACAATGTCTAAAGAAATATACCCAGAAACCTAATGTGTGCAATTTGGATATGCATATGTCTTCTGAGGAAATTACTGATATCTGGGGGAAGAGTAAATTTCAGCTTCGGTAAGTCCTATCTCTGAGTTATCTCATAACATATTTGGTAAAACAACACAATAGCCATTGTGCTGTTGATTCCTTTCTTGTAAGCTACAGCTACTTTTTTTTTGTATATATTTTATTAATTTTTGTAGGGTTAGGATTAGGGTTGGTTTTTTTTAAAATAATATTCTTAATATTTAGCAGACAGCATATTGTCTGGGTTCATGTATTTAAAAAACAATAAATAAGAGTTAATTTCTATATTATCATAATCAATATGTTAGTTAATCGCTCCATACTCTTTTTCTTACTAGTATATATTCTATGTTACATAGTACATATCATGTTCCTTTTTCTCTTAACTCGCTTTTCTAGCCATTGGTAAAAATTGTCTCATGTTCTAAAGTACATTGACTCTTCTTTCTCTTTTATCTTTAATGTCAATCTGTCCATTTCTGCACATTTTAATATTTTCTTAATTAGTTCTTCCGTTTGTAAGTTTTCATTTTTCCAATATTGGGCAAATACAATTCTTGCTGCAGTTAATACATGTAAAATTAAGTATGTACAATCTTTCTCATAGTGTCCTCCTATTATGCCTAACAGAAACAGTTCTGGCTTGAAATCTATATGTTTTTTAGTCATTTTTTCCAACCATATGTGTATTTTTGACCAAAATCTTTTAGCTTTAGAACATGTCCGCCAGATATGATAATAAGTACCTGGTTTTTGTTTACATTTCCAACACTTATTTGATGTATTTTTGAACATTTTCATTAATCTCACCGGTGTAAGATGCCATCTGTAAAACATTTTGTATAAGTTTTCTTTGTAAGCCACCGCTTTCGTTAATTTAGCATTTCTTTCCCATAATCTTTCCCAATTTTCTAGTTCTATATTATGTCCAAAGTTCTTTGCCCATGTTATCATTGCTTCTTTTACTTGTTCCTCTTCCATGTTTAAGTTTAACAAATATTTATAGAATTTGTTAATCAATTTTTCATCTGTTTTTAGCAGTATCTGGTTAAATTCTGTCTGTTCTTTATAAAATCCTGTTGTTTTAGCATCTTTTTCATATCTCGTTTGAATTTGCAAGTATGGCCATCATGATAGTTCAATTACTTTTTTGTAGCCCTATAAGTCAGTTGCTAAAAAACAATGTAACCTACATTCAATCCTCTTTCGCTGAGGATTGAAGGAAACTCACCTGGTGTTTTCAGATTTTTGTCAATCCAAAGCAGACGGGGTCAAATTATTCTCCAAAGCACCAGAAGGCAGGACAAAAAACAATGGTTGGAAACTGACTGAAGAGAGAAATTAAGGAGAAAGTTCCTAACAGTGAGGACAATTAACCAGTGGAACAGCTTGCCTTCAGAAATCTGGGAGCTCTATCATTGGAGATTTTTAAGAGGAGACTAGACAGTCACTTGTCTGAAATGGTATAGGTCAGAGCCCTCTCTGTGGGCACACGCGCCGTCACCCCAGTCCTAGGCATTCAGCTGGGTTTTATAAAACCTTTTTGCTTTAGGCCTCCACTGCCATGTGCCAAAAAAAAAAAAAAAGGTTCAATCAGTCAATTTTAATTTTTCACGGGGGAAAAAAAAGATCTTGCAAAATTGGAATTGATTGAACGTTTTAGTCCCAGTCTGCCATTACCACCGCAGCCACGCCCACCCAATGGGCCACGCCCACCCAATGGGCCACACCCACCCGGCACTCGACGATGCATAAGTGGGTTTTGGATTGCAGTTTAGGCACTCAGTCTCTAAAAGGTTCACCATCACTGGTATAGGTTCTCCTGCTTGAGCAGGGGGCTGGACTAGAAGACCTCCAAGGTTCCTTCCAGCTCCTATTCTATTCTATTCTATTCTAAATTTTTAATAATCAAAAAGTAGTTAATGAGCAATTTATGAAAGTGATTAGAAAAGGAAGTATGCAAACCCAACATTCTTAAAGATCCCCAACATAGTTTGAGCAAGAAGACTATTATTCCCTTGTCTGCTAGAGTTGTAAACCCCCACTGTCTTTCAGTCTCAACACAAGAAGCAAATGTCTGGAGCACTTGGGGGCAATTTCAGGTCTTCTCCTTATACAGAGAGGAATTATCAAGGAGCCAATCTATTCACTGGCTCTTCATTCTCTACAGTTGTTGGCTCCACTTTCAACCGAGCTGACTTCAGTTTTCCTTCTCCGGAAGTCATAAACTGCATATTTTGGTGTGTTTGCTTAATAAATGGGAAAATTCCCATTTATCAAGTTCTGTGGACCTATCAAGTCTTATGGAAGATAAGCCTTTTTTAAGAAGCCCATTGTGTAGGATATGGAGTGGAGAAGGCCTATCTGTCTGTCTGTCTGTCTATCTATCTATCTATCTATCTATCTATCTATCTATCTATCTATCTATCACATTTACATGTCCTTGCTTAACCACAATTGGGACTGGCAACTGCCTTGCTAAGCAGAAAATTGTGGTATGGGAGGATACAACAGTAAACAATGTGCTTGAAACTGGGTGAGGAATCTGATTTTCCCTTTTCTATTCTACACTTAATTTCCTGGAAAAGATCCCCAAGAGCAAAATACTTACAAAAGTGAAGGAGGGGGACTTCCGCCCCACCCGTATACTAACGGAAGTGGTGAATTAAAATTTCCATGGAGGATCAAAATATATGGTAGTGAAATAAATTTATAAACTTGAAAGCTAAAATTTAATTTTGGACAAATTTAAAATTGTGGAATGGTTAAGACTCTCATTTTAAAGACCATTGTTCATATTGAAAACTAAATAGATGCTAACACCTAGTAGTGGATGAAGATTATGACAGTTATGATTTCCATAGAGAACTTGCCAAAACCTGGGAAAAGCTAATCTGTGTTTGTGACCTTCAAAGCTTTAATAACAATGAACAGCTATGACAAACAAAAAAAAAAAAAGACAACAATCTGGGCTGCAGTCAAAGAGAGAATTGTAAACTTTAGAAAAAAAATATTTTCTGAACTCTTTGGATTACAAATATCTATTTTATCTGGACTCTGAAGTTATTTGCAGACAGGAAAGAAAACTTCAACTTTTGGCCATCATGGATCAGACACATGTAGATAGAACACACCAAGAAAACATAAATACCTCTCAGGAGGAGATAAATCGTATACTGCAATTAATTCAAATAACACTGAGTTCAAATCGCAAAGAAATCCAAAATATGCCCCACACTCATCAGTCACCAGTAATCCTGGATAAATCATTAGTTCCAGTCAACAGTGGTGGTCTAGTGCTAGACCCTTGTTTTATAAGGTACTTCAGAACGTTACATTCTCTCATTTTTAAAATCTGCATGAATACAGTGGGAGAGGTTTTCCACTGGATCAGAGAACATCAACATCAGTATACTGATATACTCATTTCTGTATCTCTGCCCCAGACATCCAAGTGAAATTGTCAAGGTTTTGCCTGAATCTCTGGAAACTGTAAGAGTTTGGATAGGAAGAATAGGCTTCAGCTGAATCCTATCCACAATAATCTATATGTCATTGTTCCTAAACTATCCTTCTTCCACCTCAGTGAATATTTTGTGTGTGTGCATTGGATTTCTAAAAATGCACTATAGATCACATTTCACTCTTCAGATAACTCCAGGTAGCCCCCAACTTACATCAGTTTGTTTAGTGACTTTTCAAAGTTACAACATCATTGAAAAAAAGTTACTTTTTTCACACTTATGACCATTGCAGCATTCCCACAGGCACCTGATCAAAATTCAGACATTTGATAACTGACTCATATTTATGATAGTTGCACTATCACTTAAATATGAGCCAGCAGTGTGCTACAGCTTCCAAAAAAAGCCAACACAGTGCTAGGCTGCATTAATAGAGGGATAGAATCAAGATCACATGAAGTATTAATACCACTTTATAATGCCTTGGTAAGGCCACACTTGGAATACTGCATCCAGTTTTGGTCACCACAATGTAAAAAAGGTGTTGAGACTCTAGAACAGCGGTTCTCAACCTGTGGGTCGCCATTTTTTCCCCCTTTTCCTTAGCTGTGCTACTCCCTTTTATTCTATTGGTTTTTGAAAGCCAATAGAATAGACTCTCTTGAATAGAGTCTAATTCTATTGGCTTTCAAAAGCCAATAGGAATTGTCCAGGCTGTCTCTGCCCTGCTGAGCCTGCCAAAAGCCCCATTCTGCAAACGGTGCTGCACCAGTTGAGTAGTCCTCTACTTACGACCGGTTGAGTAGTCCTCGACTTATGACCGGTTGGGGGTCGCGGCATTAAAAAGGTTGAGAACCACTGTTCTGGAAAGAGTACAGAGAAGAGCAACAAAGATGATTAGGGGACTGGAGGCTAAAACATATAAGGAACGGCTGCTGGAATTGGATATGTCTAGTTTAACGAAGAAAAGGACGAGGGGGGACATGATAGCAGTGTTCCAATATCTCAGGGGCTGCCACAAAGAAGAGGGAGTCAAGCTATTCTCCAAAGCTCCTGAAGGCAGGACAAGAAGCAACGGATGGAAACTAATCAAGGAGAGAAGCAACCTAGAACGAAGAAGAAACTTCCTGACAGTTAGAACAATTAACCAGTGGAACAACCTGCCTCCAGAAGCTGTGAATGCTCCAACACTGGAAGTTTTTAAGAAGAGACTGGACAGCCATTTGACCAAAATGGTTTGGGTTTCTTGCCTGGACAGGGGGTTGGACTAGATGACCTCCAAGGTCCCTTCCAACTTTATTATTGTTGTTGTTATTATTATAAATCACCTTTTGCAACCTTCTGACAAGCAATGGGGAAGCCAGATTCACTTAACAACCATTTTTGCTAATTTAACAGTTATAGTGATTCATTTAATAACTGCTGCAAGAAAGGTTGTAAAATGAGGAGAAATTTGCTTAACAAATGTTTCACTTAGCAACAGAAATTTGGGGCTCAATTGTGGTCATAAGTCGAGGACTACCTGTATTAAATTTTTTGACCAGCTTTATTTAGAACCACGTGAGTGATTTCATTTTATTTTATTTATTAATTTTTTATGCTGTCCGTCTCTCCTATAAGGTGACTTTTCCATGGCAAACTTATGGAAAGTTTTTATAACTGAAACTGCTTGTGATTATGTTGTTCTTTATCTTTTTAGAAACCAAAGTGCCACTAAATCACAGCCAAAAAGCTTATTGGAAAAGTTACGCTGGGTAACTCTAGGTTACCACTATAACTGGAATACAAAGGTATGCAAGGGGCAATAGAACCTCCTAAAAGATATGACAGCAAATATTTATTTTTATTTTTTCTGTGGATGGCACCAAGGGCAACAATCAGACATCAGGGTTTTAAACCCCAAATATTCTATTCAGAATATAAACCTGGACTAAAAAGAAAACATTCTTTATCAGCCAGCTACAGACAAGGTTAACACAATGAGCTTTGAGTTTTTTATTGTCTGGTCTTCATAAGAAACTGACCTCTTACCAACCTTCTAAGTACAAAATTCTGGGCCCTAATAATGTAAAGAGGGGCCGATCTTATGGCATGTTACAAAAACTGCTAATTATATAACCTGTCTTAAGTCATTTAAGCATTGTTGACAAAAATAACAACTATGAGGACAAAGTATACATTGATGCTCTGAAGTTGCTTTAAGTCACAGTTAAGAAAATTAGTTAAGTCACGCTGCAAAATTGCTGTTTCAGTTAAAAACATTTAACTAACCTTGTAAACTATAACAGAGAGAAATTGATTCAGATAATAACACTTCATATTTTAAAGAGTTGTTATACTTGAGTTTGCAATAAAGAAATCTGGTTATTTTCCTTCTATAACTTTGGCATTCTGGGCTTTAAGCCAGATGGTAACCTGAAGTTCACTTTAGATTATTAAAAGGTAGCATAATTTAAATTTAAATCACTTTGAAACATTCCTTATACACTGGCTTCATTACTTAAAAATTCTATTTGCAACTTTTTTGCTCTTTCAACTAGAAATATTCAGCAGATAACTATACCCCCTTCCCATCTGATCTGGCTTTCCTGTCAAAGCAAGTGTCTAAAGCTTGTGGATTTCCCAACTTCCAAGCAGAAGCAGGGATCCTGAACTATTATCACTTTGATTCATCTTTAGGAATTCATGTGGATGAATCTGAACTGGACTTTTCTCCACCTCTTTTATCATTCAGGTAAGCAGAGCAAATACGTTTAGATGTATAGATATGTATATTTCACACATTCTTCTGACAGGTGTAGACCTACATTTCTGGATATACTAACTAGATATATGAATGAAGGTTTAAACTAGGCATTTAGGGCCAAAGGGTAGTTATACTATGTGAAAGCCAAAATAGTAGCATTTTATTTATTTCATTTTATCTTGATTTTTCTTTTTTCAGTGGCACATTTTATTTGCCTCACATAATTTTATGATATATCTATATGTACTCTACCACTCAGCCTGTTTCCTTAGGGGTATCCAAGTTGGTGGGTACATTTGAAATTTTGAAGGGATATTAATTAATTAGTGGAACAGCTTGCCTCCAGAAGTTGTGGTGCTCCATCACTAGAGGTTTTTAAGAAGATATTGGACAGCCATTTATCTGGAATGCCCTGAGAGGAGAAACAGAGGAGCAGCGAAACATGATCGTAGAACTAAACAACCAACATTTTTCCTGACAGCAACTTTAATGGAGAAAAACACTTGGGTGTTGCACAGTGTTTGCAAATGATCCACAAATATTTTCAAACCTAGGACCAGCTAAACAAACATTTGTTAACTTGGCAAATGAACAACAGTCTGCTGTTAAAGGGAAAGGTAAAGTTTATGTAAATGGTATAGGAAAAATGGATAATGTATTATACGTACCACAGTTAAACCATAATTTATTCAGTATTTCAAGCTTGGATAACCTGGTGTATGAAGTACTGTTTGCAAAGGGTTAATGCACCATTAGGAAAGGTGGGAGGATTTGTGCACAAGGAAAAAAGCAGGATGATTGTGCATGAACACTTACAAACACTGCCACACATAATAATTGCATACATAATTAGGTCATGCAAGTTTTAGAGTGCTACAAAGGATGCCAGACCTAGCTGAAGGGCTTAAAATTAACTTGAAACCTCTCCTAAAATTAATGCAACACATATTTAGATTGCGCTATTTGTAAGGAGTCAAAGTCCAGAGTCTATCCTGTAACTAAGAAAAGCTCAAGGCAAACAGAGTTTTGCAGTTAGTGCACACTGATTTAATTGGTCCTATGGCCAGCTGCAAACAGACAGGGAAACAGAGTTCATGTCTGACAACTTCCAAATGTGGCTGAGGAATTTAAACATAAGGCATAGACATACAAACCCATACTCCTCGGCAGAAAACGGTGTGGCTGAACGGAGGAGTGGTGTATTGCAAAACATGAAATACTGTTGGCAGATGCAGGAATAAGTAAAACGTACTGGGGGGAAGCCATGAAAACAGCCAACTATTTGGTAAACAGGGTATGGAGCATTGCTATCAATGAAACTCCATATTTCCTGTTATATGGAAGGAAACCTTCATTGACTCATCTAAGGACAATTGGCAGTTATGCCTGGGTGCATATTCCCAAAAGTACCAGAAGGAAAGGACAGAAAAAGGCCAAGAAACTTAGGTTTGTTGGATATGAGCCAGGTTCCAAAGAGTATAGATTCACAGATGGAACAAAAAAGGTTGTGATTTCAAGGTCTGCTAGTTTGCAGAACAAAACAATTGGGTCAGGGTGCATGCTAACACCGAGGTGTTCATGCCAACACCTAGCGCTAGTTCTCAGGAAGGAGAAGCTACACAAATCCCAATGAAGGAAGGACAGGATAGCAGGTCGGAAATAGTAGGAATAGAAGAGGATAGACCTGCAGTAAAGAGAGAAATAACAGAAACACAGGAACAGATGATACCGAGGAGGTTTGAATGTAGCAATAATGTACCTCCTGATAAACTACCATTTAATATAGACCACTGTTTACTGTGTTTACTCCTCAGTTATCTCGGTGCAATAAGACTGTACATGCTCTGACAAATAATGTTAGATTTTAAGGGGTTTTTTGTAAATTAATACTTTGTAAAAACAAGAGCCAATATGATATACAGTAGGCCTGGTGGTTTCAATGTCCTTAATTATAATGAAGCCTCTGAATAGCTTACTAAAAGGAGAATATCCTTTTAAAAGTATAAAGTTGCCCATATTTGTGTGTAACTATAGTTTTACTAACTCTTCTTTCTTTTTTCTGTATTAACTTCCTAGCTTTGGACAGTCATCCATATTTCTGCTGGGAGGATTGAAACGAGATGAAACCCCTGTGGCCCTGTTCACACATAGTGGAGACATTATGATAATGTCTGGTTTCAGCCGCCTACTGTATCACGCAGTTCCCAAGATCTTCCCCAATCTAGAAGGAAAGTCTTTGCCATCTTCCTTAGAGCTACCTCTCTCTGCTGACCTGCCCGCAGACTCTGTGATTGAGCGCTGCTCCGATGACGATTGGCAAACCTGTGCCAGATATTTGGAAACATCCCGTATTAATATGACTGTGAGACAGGTGCTAGCTGAAGGTCAGAGCTTCTTGACTGAAATTAGGACAGAGAGTGAACAAAATGCATTCTCCACAGACCATTGTGAAAAGTTTAGAGAAACCAAAACACACAAGCCTATTAGCAACAGATGAGCCCCTCTTTTCACCATAACCTCAGATGCATGAAAAGCCAACACCTCACAGAAGAGATGGGATATGCCATTGAAAGAAAATTGATTAACTGTGAAAATAAGTATGTACAGCCAAAGTATATGGCTCAGGTGAGGAAAATCAGTGCTGTTTCAGTCTCATTAGGATCACACAGCAAATCTATGTATTTTGAACTAAGTTATTTTGATGCTTTGCAAAAATCAAAACTTTTCTCAGCCTATAACTTTCTTGTGGTTTGCTTTGAGATATCAGAGAGGAGATTTCAAGTTAAAAAGCATATTTGGGTAATCTATAAAGTGCCAGATGGTCAGCTTAATTCTGAATTTCTTTGGCACAATTGCCTGTTCCCTCACTTTTTTTGTATTTGGGACCCTTCTGGGCCTCACTAGCATTTCTCTTCACACAGAAACTAGCTTATCTTTGCACATCATGTCATTAGGCAAGGCTTTCTTCCAACAGTCTTATAAAGACAGATCTGCTTTTTGCAGATGAATTTTATACCTCCCTTTGGCTGTGATATTTGTAGCTACCTCAGTGGCTTTCTTTGGGTCTAGCTTTCCCATAGTGCCTGAAGTGTGTGTGTGTGTGTGTGTGAGAGAGAGAGAGAGAGAGAGAGAGAGAGAGAGAGAGTTGAGCTGAAAGAGTGCTAGTATGCCAGCCAGCACTTCCCTAATTATAGATATGTTCACCCACAACACCATATCAAGTGACCTTTGACATCTCCCAGCATAGCAGTGATTTTCAGACTTTCTATCATATCACTTGTTCTATAATGGTGTTTTCCTTTGTCTCCAAAGATGCTTCCTTTCTGGATCAACACTCCCCTGCATTCTCTGATTGCTTTTCCCTGTGTTTTCCTGTGTCATCTAGAGCCTGCATACAGGTAGTTTTCAACTTATGATCACAATTGAGCCCAACATTTCTGTCACTAAGTGAGACAAGTTAATGAGTTTGCCCCATTTTATGATCTTCTTTGCACAGTTGTTAGGTGAATCGCTGCCACTGTTAAATTAGTAACACAGTTGTTAAGTGAATCTGACTTCCCCATGACTTTGCTTGTCAGAAGGTTGCAAAAGGCAATCACTGGGACATTGCAGCTCTCATAAATACAGGCAGTTTCCAAGCTTCCAAATTTTGATCACATGGGGGGGATGCTGTATATTGGTCGTAAAGGTGAAAAATAGTTGTCACTTTTTTTAGTGCCATTGTCACTTCAAACAGACACTAAACAAATGGTTGTAAGTTGAGGACTACCTGTAGTGGTGTTCTTGAGTCTGAAACCTCACATAATTAGGTGTTTGCACTTTCTTCTTTGGGCACATTTTACTTCCTTGTCCAGATTTCTGACATTTGGAACATTTAATGGGAGTTATCTTATTTAATGTTCCTTTATCTCCCTTGGGGGTATTTCTTGATACTTCACCTTTTTGAGAAGAAAATGGTTGTTCTTTTGGGGAGGAGGGGAATTTGATTTTCTCTCAGCCTTCCTTTCTTCTTCTTCTTTTTAATATATTTTATTGATTCTTTTTTAAAAAAAAACATAAATCAGTCAATAATTGGTAAACAGTGTGTTGTCTGGGTTACATTTATAAAACAATCATTAACAATTTCTATAATCCATATTCCACATATTAATATTAGTTGATTTCCTCTTTCCCCAAAGCAATCTCTTTTGCAAACATTGAGTTAATACAATTCTTATTGTTTTGATAAATTACAATTGAATGTATAATTTTTTCCCAATATTCCTAAAAATAATAATCATATTAGTATAATATTTCTTTTCTATTCAATCATTCTGGTTGTCTTATCATAGATCCTGTCACAATCCTTATTTTAGTTTATTTCTCCCACTGAATTCTAGATATTCTTACTGGTGAATATTTTCTCAAAGATTTATTACATTTACATTTACAAATTTTATTCTATTTTTTCCATATAAGCCATCTCACACTGTTACATTTAAGAAATAGATAAAACAATGAAAAGGGAAAAAAAGAGAAGAGAAAAAGAAAGGAAAACAAGAGTAAAGAAACGTAAGAAATAACATACTACTTAAAATATATATCCCTCCTAGGCTAATATATATTTATTTCCTTAATTTCTTATTATTTTTAACCATAATTAAGAATATATTTGATCTTTAATCTTTAAGCATTCCGTTCAATACATCTAGTCATCTAGTCCTTTAACTCTTATTCAAAACATTTTTTTATAATTTTTTTTAATTCAGTCACATTTAAGTGTCTAAAACATTTCCTTTATTTAAATCATTTCAACTTTTTTATATGACTCATATCAAGAAAAAGAACACAAAAGAGGAAAAAGCATACTATATTGTTTAGAGAATTCATCCCTCTTAGAATAGTATATTCCAAAAATTTTCTATTTCTTTAACCATATTCAAACAATGTTTCTTTTTTAAGTATTCTCTCTGATAAGTCCCATCATTTATTTTCTTGGTTTCCACCTTAATCTTTCTCCTTTGCCTAGTATCTTTCTTAATCAATGTATTTTGCTGAATCAAAAGGTTTTTCCATATGTTCACAAATGTTGCTATAGATATAAAAAGTAAATCAGTATCTTTGTTAGGGGCATTTGCCAACTCCTTTTTATTGGGAATCTTTTTCCTTCTTTTTCTCTCTGCTTCTCTTGTCACTTTTTGTCTCTTCAGTTCTGGTGTTTTCCCTGATGTCTCTGTAGAACGTTTTATCCAGTCTTTTTTCTTGTCCTCAAGTTTATTTTGTAGTGTTGAAATGTAAGTTGTCTTTTCCAAATTTAGTATTTCTTGTAAATTTTTCCCACTTAGATTAGATCATACTCCTTTGTTTTGTAGAATTACATCTTCAAATCTCTATCCTCGAATTTATGTTCAGTCATCTGTTTTGTCTGTTCCTTCTCTGCTGTATTTTCCTGAGGGTTCTTTTGGTATAAAACTGAATTGGAGATGAGTTGATTTATATTTTCAAAATTATTCTGAGTTTCTTTGTGATTTGAGATCATTGTTCCTTGAATTAGTTGCAGCTTAACATATATCGCCTCTTGAAAAATATTCATTTTTTTCTTGATGTATTTCCTATAAATCTCTGATTTTCCATGATGACCAAAAGTTCAGATTTTTTTCTCTTCTCCCCCCCCCCCCCCTTTGGAAATAGCTTTGGAGTCAGAATTGAATAAATACTTATAGTCCAGAGAATTAAAAAAAAAAGTTCTTTTTTGTTTTGTTTTGTTTTTGTTCCTTCAGGTTTGTAAGTCACTTTATCTACACAACTATTCTTTATTTGTAAAGCTTTGAAGGTCACAGGCAAAGATTAGTTTTTTCCCCCCAGATTTTACCATGACTGTCATAATCCGCATCCACCAGTAGATGTCAGCACTGGTTCATTTTTCAGATTTTACTCCATGAAAGGTTAAGTTCACTGCTTCTGGTAGCAAAAGGGTGGGGGGAAAAACCCCACTCTTGGAGGTGTTTTTTTTTTTTTTCCCTTCTTGGGAGTTTCTCCCCTTCAGGAAAGTGGGTAGGATAGAGAAAAATCAATGTTCTTACCCAGATTCAAGCACATTGTTCACGATCAGCTTAAAATAGTGCTTTTGACTTCCGTTGCTTGCAGCTTGGGCTGGACTCTGAAGTTAAGCCAGCCTTTCTCCTGTTGGTTTCTGGAAGGCTTCTCCTGGACTGATCGGGTCGACCGCCATCTCTTCTAGGTCCCTGGGACTTCCTTCCTTCATTGCCACCTCTCTGGGCAGCTTCTGGCCCATTTAGGGTTCCCTAACAGGAAGAAACTCAGCTGGAGGGCTCGGAATTCCGAATCCCTCAACTGCTTCGCTGCGTGCAGGAACCGGACCAGCCTTCCTTTCTTCTTGTCAACAACTACTACACCTCTTCCAGTCTTCTCTGCTTTTTGACCTGCTACATAGCCCTCAATTAGTTGTATTGTCATCTCTCTGCAGCTCCTATACCCAGAAATGATCTAGGTAGAATCTGCATTAATCACTCTAACACTGTCATCTGTAATAAATTGTACACAGTTCTCCCTGGGACATCCACTTGTCACCAATTACAGTTGTCTTCTCCAGGGTAGCCCATGGTTTATGAAAACCTTGTTCTGCATTGAACACATAGTCCTAGAATTTTCAACTAAATCTGATAGTGTTGGTCAATTGCCTCCCTCATAGCATTGTTTCCTGCCTGAGCTACTGGCAATTGCATGAACACTCAAAGGGCTCTTCCAGCAAAAATGGAAGCAATCCATTTTTGGTCAGCCCTGTGTTCTAGTCACTCTCTCAAGCGTAGCAAGATAGTCCCATCACCTGGCACAGTAGGGCTGTTTCTTTTTTTATTATTATTTGTTTTTAACAGTTAAATAATAATTATTCAACAAAAACATGTTGTCTGAGTATCTTATTCACTAATACAAATTAAGTTCCTAATCCCTAAATCTTTTCTCTAACCATTTGTAAAATAGGTCCCAAGTTTGAAAATATTCTGTTTCTTCTTTTCAAATCAACCTTTATTGTCGAAGTACAACATGTGTACAATGAGATTGGCTAAGCCTCCCTTCGTGCACCCCTGACACAACTCACAGTGACAACAAACACACAATCTTATTGCACCACGTGAACTTATTGTATAACGCGCTGGCCCCGCAAGTCTATTATACATGGAGTTATTTACCATTCAAAAGTCTGACTGCCCATGGATAGAAACTGTTCTTCAGCCTGTTGGTGCGGCTGGCTATGCTTCTATATCTCCTACCCGATGGTAGGAGAGTAAAGAAGTGCTGACCAGGGTGTGAATCGTCCCTGAGGATTTTCCTTACTCTTCTAAGGCAGCAGGCCCTAGTGATGGCGTCTAATGGTATCAGGGGACAGCCCACAATGTTTTGTGCTGTGTTCACCCCCTTCTGTAATGTCTTTCTATCCGCAGCTGTCAAGCCAGCGTACCACACCATAATGCAATATGAAAGGATGCTTTCTATAGTGGACCGGTAAAAGAAGGTCATCAGTCATTGTTCCACTTTGTTCTTTCGCAAGACCCTAAGGAAGTGGAGTCTCTGTTGGGCCTTTCTGGCCACCTGGGTTGTATTGAATTTCCAGGTGAGATCTTTGCTGACTCCTAGGAATTTGAAGAAGGAAACCCCTCCACACAGACCCCCCCTGATGTAAAGTGGGGCCAGTTCCTCTCTTTTCTTCCGGAAGTCTAACAACATCTCCTTTGTCTTGCCGATGTTCAGGTGCAAGTTTTCTAGACACCATGAGGATAGTTTTTGTACCCCCTGTACGCTGTTTCGTCTCCACCTGTAATAAGACTCAATACAGTAGTATTATCTGCGAACTTAATGATCGCAGTGGATGGGTCAGATGATACACAATCGTGTGTAAAGTGAATACAGGTAGGGACTGAGCACACAACCCTGTGGCGAGCCAGTGCAAAGCTTCAGGGAGGTGGATATGACAGACCCGACCCTCACTGTTTGTGGCCAGTCCCCCAAAAAGTCTTTGATCTAGTCACAGATGGAGGGGGGGAAATCCAAGTCGTCAGCTTTTCGATAAGGTTGCTCGGCAGAATAGTATTGAAAGCCGAGCTATAGTCAATGAAAAGCATCCTGATATAGTTTCCAGGTTTCTTCAGATGGCTCGCTACAGAATGTAAGGCAGTAGCTATGGCATTGTCTGTTGACCTATTCCTCCTGTAGGCAAACTAATGTTTGTCAAAGTCCGATGGGAGGCATGTCCTAAGGTGTTGGTGAACCAGGCTTTCAAAGCATTTCATCACTACAGACGTTAATGTGATAGGTCTGTAGTCGTTTAGGCAGTTGCTGTTTTCTTCAGGACTGGGACAATAGTGGCTGCTTTCAAGCATGATGGAACACAGGCCATTTG